GGTGGTCCTGATATGTGTACTTCTCCGTGCATTCCTAAGATTCCGTTATCAGACACCCACGTAGCTACACGTTAGTAAAGTATCACGGTTTGACTGATACGCTGGTCAAGTAAGTTGAGAAACCTTAAAATTCTCAGCTACCTAACTTAGCTCTTATGTTACGTGAGAGAATAATGTTATAGTACACGGAATATTAAATAATTATACAGTATATTATTGTACATCAATGCTTCATAATATTATGAATAATATGCATTATAAAGAATTTTGAGTTATCAGCTCTGATGTTATCTTATATATTCCAGCCGGCTCTAGAGCATGAGCCGGCTGGAATTTGGTCTCAAATCAATATATATGCGCATATAAATAAAGAGTTCACGCTCTAAGTTGATTATTATAAATTAAGATAGTAGTAGTTAGTCCGTGATTGACCAGTATCATTGGCTAGAAGCCAAGCTCATTAAGCACTCAAACTCCTCCCCTTACATTATATACGCCTATACTCTATAGTCCCTTATTGGCGATGGTCCGATAATTATTTCATGTTTGTAGACGCTACCAGATGACATCTACTAATGTTTTAGTCACGCTCCAGAGAGCCCCTACCTTTCACTGTAACCACTTTCGCTTAACGCTGTAATATACAGGGTATTATATGGCACGGCGTAAAACTCACGTTTAAAAGTGCCAAAATCACCTGATCAGGTTGGATATCACATGACCTTTAAAAGTTAGAAAGTTGTGAATCTGTAATATAATATCCTAAACCACACTCTGTTCCTTTAGATCTGACCGATCTTCTAAATTGACGTACTCTCTATAGTACTCCACATTTGTACATCAGTTTATCTCATCTTATCCCGTGTGATACAGGCGGGGTTTTTCCCGTCGACCTGGATGACCTGTACTTTACACCTGCAGTAGCTGTTTGCATGACCTGCACGCTATTTAGCCAGTTCTCCTGAAATACCCTGTTCTTAGTCTCCTTTAACCTTTGTACTTCTAGTATTACGCCTTGTCAGCTGTTATGTCATGGGGACGTGTTATGTTCCGTCTTAATAATGTGTTCGCTTGTTTGCAGCTGCAAATACACCTCATGTTCTTATGTTACGGTTATTAAATATTTCTTGCTGTTGTGTCTTACTTGCCCCTTCTTTCGCAATATTATTCTAAAATTAGCTTTTCTCAATTTTGATAATCGACACCTTTGAGCATGATGGCTGTCATAATCGTCTCATCTTACAATATTCATCTCCAGTATTTGTGCTCATTACTCCCAATGCAGGTGTCAAGTCTCAAATGCTGTGATTTTGGATGCAACTAACATAACAGTAACCTTCAATCAATCATTCGTCAGTCTCGCCATTATTTTTCCCATTTAACCTACGTGCGACACCATAACGAGGTATCCAATAGCTCCCTCTTCCACTAGCATTCCTTGTCACTGGATTAGTCTCATTAGCGGCTAATTAGAGTGTAATCGGTAGTTAACTAGTGTGTAATTGGTAGTTAATTAGAGTGTAATTGGTGGGGAATCGCAGTGTAATGCATATTGGATAGTGGTTATGGTTTAATTCTCCCAACTCCCAAGCAGACTGAGACACGCACAATTTTATCAAACCACCAATTAACTATGAGCTGTCCGTTCTCATTTTTTGTACATCCGTTCATTTTGCGTCACTATTTCTTACATAAACCACAATATATTTTGTGTTTGATAATTACTGACTCGTTTTTAAATTGTCGTAATGAAACAGTATTAAATAAAATTACTGTCCAGCTGTAGAATTTCGGTCTAACTTAATGTAAGCTCTGGCAAGCGTACTATTTTGATCTTTAACGTGTGATAATTAGCGATATTTTCCAGACAGAATGTTTTAGTTGCGGTTGTTCCTAATTCTATTTACCGCCACTAGTGTCTGTTGAAGTGTTGATCGCTACTTCTTGCCACATTCTATAACAATCTATAGTGTGATTTCTTTTAAATTCCGGGTCGACTTAGATCAGATGTTTCGGTTACAACTTCTAAGTTTTAACACAGCCGCTTCCTGATTGGCGATTGCGTAATAGTGGTCATATACTAACAAGCATTTGACACAACTCAGTACACTGGCACATTCACGCCCTGCAACCCTGTACACAATTAGATTGTCAATGTTATGTCAACATTAACTGTACGTTCTTTTACCAATACAAATCCAATCGTCAATCCCCGGTTCTGACCTGCATTTTGTTTTCTGTGCTGTACACTGAACTACAGGGTTGTTGAATTTTCCAACTTTCGGCCGTATAGAAATTATTTGTGTTCAATGTTCTTTTGGTAGTGGTGACTGGTGGTGTAGCAATAGCTTAAACGGGTACAGTCATTTCGGCCCATCCTGTGTATTATTCTACGGAACAAAAGCAAATTAGCTAATGAAATAAATGGTGTAATAATGTTGGTGCCGCTATTTCTGTACGAACGGACCAACACGGCACAATACCGACCTCGTTCTGAGATATTTCTACTTCATGTTACGTAGCTGTAATATTCTTAGCTCCGTTTCTCAGTTAACGTTTCTCAGTTAACATATGACACAAATTTAGTCTCACCGGAAACTGACAAATTTGACAGCGTTATGTCAGAACTGTACATCGAATATTTGACATTTTCTCATTTCGCTGTGTAAGTGCGTACGCTGGCTCGTGTCTCTCTTCAACTTCTTTGATCTTCGTGTCGGTTCAAATCAGGCTACCCGGATGCTTGCTCTGTGCTCATCGGTTAAAATCGGCTGATCGAAAGTTTGGTTGAAACTTAAAATTCGACTAGTTTAAAATCTCCATGAGTAGTCACTTGTGTAAATTTAGCATCGTCTGTTATGATTTGTGGTCTTAATAACTTCCTAATCACAAAACACACCTTAACTGCACGATGTAGGGAGATTTATAACCACTTCAGTTTTGAACTTTCGACCAGACTTTCAACCGGTCTTTATATATCGATGAGGACATATCCGGGTGAGCATTTCTACCATGCTAGTATTTGAGCGTGTTCTCTCTCTGCATATTTCTCTCTTAGTCCTTCTTCAGAATGGTGTATCTTCGTCCTTTCTCTGCATAGTTGTCTTCTAGTTCTTCCTCTGCATGGCTTTCTCCCAACTCTTCCTCAGCATAGTTCTGCTCTGTGCTCACACTGTTATATGGATTTATGTGTAATTCCTCCACACGGCTCAGGCTCTCAGTATGTCCTGACACATTCTGCACATATTTGGGCTTGCCATTGGATGTATATTTATAGTTGAAACTTAAGGTTATACGTACTCAGCTGTAATGTAATATAATGTAATATAATGCTAATGTTCTAGAACGAATGTAAGTTATAAAGCGTTTCAATTTTCCAAGAAACCTCAAACTTCGGCTGTTTATAAATTCATTACGAGCAAGATCATGTTTCAAGGTGGACTGATCTTCGATCGATCTGGATAAAGAAATTTCGTAGTCACATATCATGGGTTTCAGTTTAAACCTTCCAGAACCAATGAGAGGAACATAAATTCGTTTTGTCCTTAGATGTTTTGATGTAAGGTTTTCTCACTCCACCCCAAAAATACTTTAGATAACTTACGGTTGCTAAAAAATAGACACTTCTGGTGTTGTTAATAAGTTGTGATCTAGTATCCCAAAAAGTATTTTCTTGACATGCAATGCAAGAGGATTGTAATAACAATTGGAACAATCAAGATTGATGGACAAATAATTCGTTCCATGATAATGATAAAGCAATACCAATAATTGACATTATGTTAATTCCAATAACGCAAAGATAGCCTAAGTAGTAAGTAACCCCTGGTGTCAACTACTCTCTCACAGCTTAGTTCTGTGAATACCACATAGTTGAGTGATGTTAAGACTGTCCACACTCTAGACCGCCTACAATTATACAGCCCTACAACCTTATACAGCTCAACAAACTGTTAACATGTTTTACCTTACTCTGAGCCCGGTTTTATACCCTGATATTCAGTAACGCTTTCAGCACTATGTAGAGTTAACATGTCAGCTGCACAGTTAGTCAGGGTGCAGGGTATATAATATATTATATAACCTATATATATAATATAACCTCCACATATGTTCGTCTGGTAGTCTTCTGTAAGATACGGTGTATATAAGGTGTCATATCCACTGCATTAGCAGTTTACTGTAACGTCACGCACCTTCTCTTTTCTGTGCGTTGTTTTGTTCTCTTATGTGTTGTTTACAATTAGCTTTGTAATGTATTGTCTGTGTGTTTTGGAGAAGAGAAACTTGTGGTTTATTGTTGAATAAAGTTTTTAAAAACTCCTGCGGTGTTAGTTGCAGTGCATTTGTTAAACATGCCATAACCGACTTTACAGTTTAATGGGCATCAATTTACCGCGTTTCATAGTAATTTAAATAGGAATTACTTGTTAGTTCAAATTTGCTGAAACAAGGAAATCGTTTAGCCACTAACTCATCTACAAACAACAACTTCAATATGAAGTAGGCTTGTTTTTAAAAGTTAGAACAATCATTGTGTATTTGATTGGTAAAGATATGTCACGTGTCAAAACAAAAATGTTCTGTCCCCTGGGCGGGGGGAGTCTATTTTATCGCCATCGTGCCGTAATTCTCTGTATGAGGTCTAAATATATCACAACAAACCCTACAAGACACATGATAACACACTCGGGATGATGTACAAGTGTACACTCGGAGAGTGGTTATCAGCTCGGGAGGAATACTGGTGTAGGGTGCTAACCTTTACTACTCTCCCTTTATATCCCAACACTTGTATTACATAAACTCTATACTATACACTTATACCAGTGGCTTTCAGACCACACGTGCCCCTTCTCCGTGGATTAATTTTAAACTTCCCTCCAGGCCGGGGCGTTTTTTAATCATTGAACAGTGAGCTGTAATACTAACCCCTCTTCCCTCCCCTGTAGTCATCGAACAGTGAGCTGTAATACTAACCCCTCTTCCCTCCCCTGTAGTCATTGAATAGTGAACCGGAGAAGGTTAAAACTGTCGAGCGAGGTGGAGGCAAGATATCGAAGAGCACCTCGTCTGGAACCCTCAACAAACGAGCCATGCCTCTCAAGAAGAGTGCCTCCAGCCACAAAGCTAAAGGTATTTACTTTTGTAATTTATTTTAATTTCCTGATCATTCATTTTCCATCCGCTGATCATACACATTTTCACCCACAGTTCACTGCTTTGTATTTGTCCGGATTTAAATTTTATCATTTCCCAAGTCACTGACACAACTTTCCCATATAAGGTTCATTCCACACCATCTCTCCAGCTGACAACTTAAACGGTAATCACATCATTTGCTTCTGTAGAAAAATCATATTTAAAGTTTGGGCTCCAGTTATATTGCTTTACATAATATTTCTAGCTACTCAAATTCGGTTCAAATATGTTTGTGACTCCTGTTTCATCACGCCATCACAGATTTCAACTTAAATTTAAACTTGTTAGATTGTAAGAAGAAGTAACATGCCTGGCATGGCGTCACAAATCCTCTAGTAATATGTCACCTTATCTAACAGCTACACAGCAAAGCGGGGCAGCTTGTAAACTTTCAAATACGATTATTTAGGCTTAGAATGCGAATGGATGCTCCAAGATCGTGATTAGGATTGTCGTCTTAGAACATGAAACAATGTGATATCTAAAATTTACATAATGGTTTCTGGATGAATGGAGTTAGCTCTAATTCCGCCTTGGAGAGAGCGTCATGACAAACTAACTCGATAAACTGTGTATAACGGCGGAATTACCAGCCGCATTTCAGCTGAATCATATATTATTCACATTATCTGTAGTAGCGACGTACAGATTTGTGATAATCAGGCGAGATGCATTGTGACAAAAATAGACTATATGTAATTGAAGCCGCTGTAAAAAGATCCAGGTACGCCTATACAATTAGTACATCGCAATTCATCGTAAGAATCTCACCAAATACAATATGGGCATTGTTTCATGATACAGAGATATAATGTATAGTTGTGTGTACTTTACCTGTAGTAGCAGGAGCTCTAAATGGTAGCCAATTGGGCCCTTATTAGATCTTTGGTGGCCTGTTACACTGCTTTTCTAGGTTGCTAAGCGCAGCATGCATTATAATGCGTGTCTAAAGCTAGGTAGGCAGTGCAATGTACATGCTATAGTAGAGTGTAGACTAGACCTGTAATATTATGTAGTGTAAAGTTTAACATATTATCACTAATTAGACAGAAATGCTGACATGCTTACTGTACTGTTTTGTTATACTATTCAATAAGTATAAAAACGAGTTTTGTTATGTAACATCTGGAAAGATTTGGGAAGGTCGCACAAACAATATACTTAAACTGTACTTTCACAGAATTTGATCTGCAGGCAATTTCTTAGATTTCAGTGGTGACAAATTTAGTGGAATATTTTCGATCACCAGTGAATACGCTACATCGAACATTACGTTCTAAGAGACGGTTAAATAATTTAATCTATGATAATAAATGGAGCATATGTTGTTGTCGTTGTGAAACTGTATTATAACTGTTTTCCTGGATATTAAAATATGTATGAAATTTTGTCGTATACGGTGAAAAATTATGTGTAAGCTAAGAAGCGACAATATCAATGATACAGTTGAAAACATTAAATGTAAAGAATTGATTTTAAGACGTACGTGTATAAGTGGGCTTAGTAAGCAGTGTTTACTTCTGTTTTTGAAGAAGTGACTTGAGTATCACTCATTATATAATAAAGTCACTATTCGTAGAAATGCGAGATTTTGGTGATTACGATACAAAATCGTGTAATTTTACATATTTGGCTATAACTTATGATCCAACAGATACATGTTGATGATTTAATAAATAGGCACAATTCGTATAATCACTTGAATTTTCTTTTCGAGAAATTTCGGAAACATATAGATATGTGCACATCATAGCGTTACTATATTGTCCGTGATCGGATCGAGATCCCGCTTACCGGTTAAACTTTATAAACAATTAAAACTATATAATCGATCTTTGCTATTTACTCGTTATACGTTTCTTATCATCAACTTTTAACAATACTACCGCAATGCAATACTGTATAGACTTACAGATGCTCGCTGATGTTCGAGTACACATGAACCAGTACCGTTCGCTATCTGTGGTATAACGACTCATGAGCATGCACAATAAACAAACCATTCGCTTCACTTGTCAATTTTAAACTGTATCACTCACTACGAAGCTCCCTAGCATGTAATATAGGTGACTTATTTAAGTTTCTCAGATAGTCGATGCTGTGGTTTACAAAATATTCGTTTAATTGCCTACTGAAAACGTACGGCGCGCTGTTTCGTATCTGTTGCGCTAGCTTTGTATCCAGCAATCTGAAGAGGCACATCGACACAAAACGCGCAATTTTAGTTTTCATTGTGGCGGTTTATAGCCGCTTCAATCCAGTTAATTAGGCGTTTGAATTGATCGCTTGTTTTCCCTTTGTCCGCGCCACCTTAAACCCTGCTTTAACTTACCTATTATTGGGTTTTTTAATGAAAACCCCCCAGGTGGATTGGTAGTAGCCGACAGCGGGCTTCTGACTGAGGAAAATCTAGATGAGTACATCAAAGATTACAACACTGTTAATATATCGTCTCCTAAAGAGTTGGCAGACTTTTGTAACGCATGTGCCGATATCATGGAGAATTCTGACGATTGGGAAAAGCGAATAGTCGCCGTAAGTTATTAACCCAATTGTACATACTTAAAGCTATAACCAAATTAGTTTAAAATCATTCTATGGAATTAACTCGGTTTGTAGAATTAGCAGTTTGCACACTATCTTCATTAAGTTAAACTAGTTTCAAATTTTCAGCTGCGAGATCTCAGAGGTGTAATGTTTTGCGGAGTAGATCACTTTAAGGGTTTCAAATTAACAATTACTGGAATGTCACGAGCCATCGAGAAAACAGTCAAAGACTTGAGATCACAAGTGGTCAGAGAAGCTTGTGTTACCGTCTCGTAAGTGTAATCAATGAAGATTTGGGATGTGTAATTTTCTAATATTGATCATATTCCGCTGAATGATTGGTAAGACTAAAACGTGTATCAAATAAGCTTCACTTCAGGGTACCCACATTTAAACTTTTAAGGCGGCATTAATAGCGATTAATAATAACAATAATTTATCCATTTTCAGAGCCATGTCAACTGAATTGGGGAACGATTTCGGCTCGTGTGGAGAAAAATTACTGACGGCCTTATTCTCTCAGCTCTTAGTCAACGTCAAGATTATGAATTTATCTGCTCATGTTTGTTTGCGACGTGTTATCGCGGTAAGTTTAAAAAACAAGTTTTTTCTTAAATAAGTCTTTAATCTTTATTTAAGATTTTTCAGTTAAATTAGTACATTGATATTCTATCACTTATCTGATCCTTATTTCAGTGTACTCAGTATCCAAAGATGTTGCCTATAATTTGCGAACAGATGAAATCTAAGAGTCCAATGTGCCGGAAGCGGGCAGCCGAATACATTGAACTCATTTTCCAACTATGGGAACTCAATATCATCACAAAAAACTTGTCAATATTAGAAGGTACCATCAAGAGTGGAATTAATGACGCAGACTCAGATACAAGGATATTTTCAAGAAGGACATTCTGGCTCTACAATGAATTTTTCCCCAAAAATGCTGAAAAGTAAGTTAAAATGTTTCAGTTCAGCATTCATCGTGCACTACTTGCCGAATTGAATATATTTATTTACATCTGCATCTTTCATTATTATTAAACTTCATCTTTGAAGTGTTTAATAACGGTCGCGTGTACTTCTTCAGTATGATGAAAACGTTTGATACGTCGAAGAAAAAGATGCTGCAAGAAACCAAAATGGGAAAATCGGCAGCTCCCGGCGCTGGTGCCACTAATACCTTGTAAGTTACGATTTTTCGTATTATTCTTATTTCTTGTTGATGAATTTAGGGGATCCTCAAATTAGTTGACTCCACGTTTGACGGTTTTTGATGATTTTACTGATCCGAAATTTATTTAGGAAACGGACGAAGAAGAACTTAGCTCCTGGATCCTCAGCTACCCTTCCCAAAAAGCCTACAATGAGCAAGAGTACTCCAGGTATGTTCCGTCTAGCGATGCCAAAAATCGTAAATGTGGGTTATTGAAACTGTGAGATCGCAAGTTTGTCGAGATTAGAAGCATGTGAGTAAGGCTTTCAAGTGAGATGTGTGGGTGAAAAGAGAGAAAGAGAGATGATTCAAAAGTGAGGTTCAGAGCGAAGAGAGGTGCGTGTTTTACTGCACCATTATATCTGCAGTACACGGTTTTACCCCCTCAGATCTTTCTCAATTGGGGAAACCATCAACTCTACCAAGACAGCCAAAAACTCCTGCAAGAGTTCAAGGTATCACACAAAATTTCAGTCGCTGAGTTTCTTTTTTAGATCCCACCCGATTTTTGAGCTTATCAAGTTCTGAAATCCATGTGCCCACTTCTTATCCTACTCAACAGATACTTAATATTTCTTTTATTTATTAATCTTTTTAGCTACATTAAATACTCTATTCTTACTTTATAACTAACTATATTACTCTTTCAAAGTGTTAAGTAAGCCACTTCTTGGACTCTCTGAGTAAAATCTTTGTAGCACAATTCTACGTGCTGAATAATGCAGCCAAACCCCCCCAATTGGGGGTTTGACTACATATGAACCCCATGTCTGTTAGCTAAGATAATCTCTTATAGCCTTAACTGTACCTTAACAAGGAGTGACGGACAGTAAAACCCCGGTAGGATCTAAAACCCCGGGTGGAAGTACCTTCAAGCGTCACAGTGGACAGTACAGTTCTTATCGTACGGAAATACGGACTATTTTCATAGTCACTATTCGCTGATTCGCATCAGTTTTACCTGACATGAACGTATATTTTAACGTATTTTGTCAGCCGTTGTATGGCATGGTGGAATGCTCAGGAGAATCCATTGCTAGTACTTTGTTGCTGGGGAAATTTACGTTTTTTACACACAAAAAACAAGCAACTATTTTTGGGGAAAAACTTAGCTGGGGAGGCTGAGCTGACTGACAAGACCGCTGACTGCTACCGCTACATTAAAGTTTTAAGTGATTGTGTTGGCTATGCTCGTATGTAATGTGCTTCGTTCTTTTAACGGTAAAATCTTGCAAAAACGTATTCTGTAAGCCGACTTTTGGCAATTGGAAATATTGGTCCATTCCTCCTTTTAGTTCGTAACCAAATCTTTTGTCTTCTCTGGTATTCCTGCTCATGCTGTTTGTGCCTGCTAAGCATGTCAAATCTAACAAGATCGCATTCCTCCGATAAGAGGAGAGGGAAGAGTAAGTTCCTACTCTTCCCTCTCCTCCTATCTTGATCTCCTCCTTTTACCCCTTCTCACGACACATTCTTTCAGGAGCACCAAGAAGCACCACCGCCTCCCCTGCCAACGAGAAAAGTGAGTATAAATGTGTGTCTTTCTCCATGTACATCATCCTCTTTACGTAACGCAGCATCAACTGCATTCTTTCAGTGCTGCACATTTAATATCACACTCTTATCTAGCTATCGTAAGTTAGTTTTCCCACCGTCAAAACGTTGTGTTTCCCAAATTATTTTTTATTCACTTTCAAATGTTGTTTCCGCAAGAAAAAGCGAAATTTATTTATTTATTTACAGCTGTCGTGGCTGATCCAGAGTTTGCTAATACCACAATTTAAAATGATATAACATTCCCAACCAGCACGATTGGGAATATAACCACATTTTCATAAAATCTCACTCATCTTTTCTCACCATCACCCCCACAGCCTCCATACCACGGCTGTTTGTAAGCCCGCGCGGCGCACGCGCCCAGCGCAACTCCACTGAATCGTACGCCACAACCAACATACCCAGTAAATACTCCACAAGCAACATACCCAGTAAGTTCTAAAACCATGTGCCGTTGTAAGTAGAATGTTACAATGTTACATGGTACCCGTGAACCACCTCTATTATATACGTGAGATAGATTAAGTGTGATACGTGTTGCACGCATGTATCTTCATGTACCACTCCATCCAATTATCAATATTATCTGCCGCTGATCCGGCCTCCCTGAAACTGCTTATTTTGCTAGACGTTTATGTAAAGCTAATTAACGGTTTTCCTACATCCTTGTATCTTATCTAGAAGACAATTAGCACCGCTTACGCTTCTTACTCGTATAAAATCTTTATTCTTCAATAATAAACACATGAAATGCTGATTTCTCACAACTCTTCTCTTATCTGTTATGTTGAACACGACCACCAGGCACCAATTACATTACTTCATTTGTGGACTTCTAGAAACATTAATTCAACTCACCCAGAACAAAGTCTTCATTTTCATATAAGTTTTGAAGCAAATGTTAACTGATTTTCCCACAGTCAGCGAAGAATCTTCTTCAAGTAAGCAATCACGAGTGAAATTCTTAAAATACAATCTGTTTCCTATTCTAATAAAATTTACCGTTGAATACACTAGTTAGTACATTCAATTTAATTCATGACCGAAATGTAATGTATTGCGGGAATCTTGATTTGACCACTCAAAGTTGGTTAAATTTGGGTGTGTGTCATCTATGTGCCAATTACGTCATAATTCATACCCTAGGCGATGATTCGTCCGCAAGTAAGCGATACCGAGTTCATCATTGTGTTTTGTGTTTAATTTCATCTTATTTCGAACTTTCTTACACGGGTACCAAGTTCTGTAGACATAGCAACTTGCATCACAATATAACCGAACTTTATAACATATAAATAACTTTTTCCTTTCATTCTTTTCTTTTCCTTTTAAAGAGTAACTTTGTGTCCAGCAAAAAGTTATACGTTCAGATTACTCTATCTGTTAAGGGTTATTCAAATATACCTCTGTGTAAGTGAGAGGGTCTAAATGTCGTTACCCAGCTCGTCAAGGAGTGGTCAAGAGCAAGAGCACCGTCCTGTCTCCCTCGCTCTCACGTGACCCCGCCACTGGAGTCAAAAAGAGCAAGAGTGGAGTTATGCGGAGTAAGATTGGGCCCGTTGGTGGCTCACTCACCCAGCCCCGACAGAGTAAGACGCCATGTGTTTCCGTGTGTAGCTGTATTGTCACGTGTTGCTAATCTCACCTGATTTTTGGGGCTTGTTGCTCAATCAGCGAATCCAATTAGAATTTAGATGTCCGATCGTATCCAATCAAAAAAGTCGTATTGGGAATTTGTCTTGTGAAATGTGAATTCAGCACTATTTTAATAAGGAATGAGGATTTGTGCGATTTCTATTGCAAGAATATTATATAGTACAAAATTCGTTTAAGCGTTTGACAATTACTTGCTTGTTTTGCTTTGGGATTACGATTTGTGAAGCACATTTTCCCTTAGCTCGTTAAATTCTTATGTTTTCCGTCGGACCTGTGCCTATTGGGCATTGGCTTCTGGGGTTTTAAGTTTGAAGCACAAACGCCCTGTTACCGGGAGCGTCATGTGAGTCCATCATAGAGCGAGCAGTTTCTACTGAGGCGATAAACCGTACAAAGGCTGGCGATGCGCTACAACGGGCTAAATCCGGTGATGCAATAAACCGTGCAAGAACTTTAAAGTCTGGTGATGCGCTACAACGAGCTAAATCCGGTGATGCGATAAACCGTGCAAAGCCTGCATCTGGTGATGCGCTTAACCGTACAAAATCTGGTGATTCACTAGACCGAGCGAGGTTCGGCTCACCCTTTGGGAGTCCTATCGGTAGCCCTCACCTAGGATCTAAGAAGACACCAGTTTCTTGTAAGTCCAGAAGTTTCACTCCACTGCTGATCTAAAAGTATACTTGAGAAAATTTTGCGTTCATTTTTGGATTATATTTATCGTCATACAAATAAGGGGGACAAGGTCATTTTATTCAGCTCACAATCTGAGCCTCACATCTTAAGTTTTCAGTCATCTTAAGTCATAACAATTGCACACATTTCCTGAGGGAGACTTGGGTCATGGTTAAATGCGCCCCAGTTAGATGGCTTCCCAGAATGCGTTACGTTTGTTGGAATATTATTGAGCTTCGAAATGCTTAACGAGTGACGTCAAGGTATTTAAGTTAACACTGTTAAATTTTATTATGATATTATTGTACTAGTGAAGGAGGAATTCGACGCCCTGCTCGTTGATTTGTAAATATTCTGTTACTACAACTCCGAAACGAAGAAAGCTCAATCGAGAGAATTCTGAATACTAAGTAAACTCATCGTACATGTTAACATAAAATTGGAATCTTATCAATGTCTCTGTAACCAGGCAGCTTCACATACAAAATCTTCTTTGGTGCGTAAGTGTTGAAGCAAGAAAGCAGCGAGAGAAAGTCCTAACTTTCTACCAGATTTATATTCAGAGACCAAAGCACGAGCAGTAAGATCCTACACTTCGATAAATCCAGAGGACGTCCGTTCAGCACGCTCCCGCACATCCATAGACCCGTCACACGTTAGCACGGCGATGGGCTCCAAGACTTTGAAACGCTCTGATACTGTGCGGAGAGTGGTGTCCACTGGATCTGGCCTGAAAAAGAGTGACAGCTCAAGTTCTACTGCCTCTTCGATGTCGCGGTCCTCTGGCAATGGCGGAAAGAAGAAACAGTCTGCTGTTGAAAGAAGAGGTGTGTTAAATGTAGCTCTATTCTGTAGAATAAAATTTTGAGAGGGAGTTTAGTTTGGTGAAGCTCTTGCTTGACGTACTCGTTTACTTTATGTTCGGTCGTTTGAGTAGATAGAATGGGATTTGAAACACACAGGTTATCAAAACACCTTTATGGATAATTTTATAAATTCCACCCAAAGTGTACTTCATGTAAAGTTGCTCGAGAACTGTAAATATGTATTCTCTAAATTCCTCGGAGTATGTTATATTAGCAGAGCCTGCGAGTGTGGGTGTTAACATAGCTGCGTCATTCATGAGTGCCCATAAATTTTTGTTTCTCGTACGTGATAGATGTATTTGACGCCTTGTATGGAGCCTTTCGTGTGTACTCTGCTGACCGTTCGGCGTTCAGCTGCGACTAGGTCCAGATCGGACGTTAGATCCAGGACAAGCATCAGCAGTTCCGATGTTATGGCAGCTCAGATCCAACTCAACCCTGAAGCTCCACGAAAACCTTGTAAGCTGAAAGATATATTGCTTAACTTGTTGGGTTTTTGTGAATGTTCTGGATGTTAAAACAGTGCAGAAATCCAGTCTTTTAAACCAGCTCAAGTCGGTATCTTAACCAGCTGCAGGCAGAACTAGGTCAGACTCGTCGCGATCGAGAACTATGATAAATCCGGAGGAGGTATTGTCTGCTCAGCAGGCCAGTAATAGGGGCGAGTCTAAACGTAGGAGTAGCAGCAGTTCCTCCAGACGATCATGTAAGTTGGTCACTTCATTGAAAAAAGTTTGGAGTGTTAATATATAGCATGCTTTGAGGTATCCTTCATACTTTCATAGATTTTGCCGTGTGAAAATGTTTGGCCGATAGCTTTGCTAAATTCAGTTTACTGATGTTTGTTCCAGTATTATCTCGATCCCGATCCGAAGTTCTCAGCTGCAGTTTGGACATACTGTCTCCCGCGTCTTTAAAAAAACTTGGAAGTTCACAACTCATGCTATCGGATGAGGATTTGGATATGGAACAATTTCATCAGACAATCAGGAGATCCTCCAACTCCTCAGTCTCTTCTTTGTCCGAGAAATCGGACAGATCGTCGGGGAAACGCCGGACGATGAAAGATGTGAAACATGAGGCACATAAAAATCGAGCTTCTCGGTCCAACGGGTCTGGAGAATCCTCTCGTGGACACTCTAAGGAGAGTTCAAGGAGCAAACGAAGCTCCCGGGAAAGTCCCGGCGATAAAAGAAGTTCCAGAGAACGCTCCCATGATGGAGGAAGTTCTCGCGACAGAAGAAGCTCCCGAGAAAACCTTTGTGATGGTAAACGCTCTCGGAGCAAGAGAAACTCTGGTGAATGCGAAAGAAAGGGAAGAAGAAGCTCTCGATCTCACTTCAAGGAAAGCAACAAATCTTCCTCACTCCGAAAATCGTTTAAAGATTCAGAAGACGGAATTTATGTAGAGGAAGAAGACGAAATCACTCTCAAAGCCTCGAAAAGTACCCCAAACTTGCTCATGTTGGACAGGAATAACCGTAGCGACGAATCGCTAGATTCTCCCTATAAAAATACCGGTACTGTAGCCACTAGCCACTGCCTGCATATAACAGAAAAATTACAAATTGTTACCAAAATTTATTAAAAAAATTGAAGCACACTGAGATTATTTATGTTTAAATATGGTAGATAAATTTGCTCATTATTTTTATTCCCAGCTCGTCGCCCAAGCGAAAGGACTGGAACAGTAATAAGCAGATCAGACGTTAGAGAAGCTATTGAACAACAGAATCGTCCATCGCTTGATCGTTCAAAGTCGTCAGCTGGAGGCTACAGAGACCGAGGTGGTTCTGAGTTTTCCGATGACGGTAGACCTCAGTCCTCAAGATCGGGTAAAAGCAGATCTAACAGGCCGACCATGACTCTGGATGACATAGAAGCAGCTCGTATTGCAGCAGCTCTAACATCACATAGAGAGAAGGAGCTAGCGAGGGAAGGGGGTGCCAGTGAGTTTGATAGGGACATGGAAGAGATAAAAGAGTCACACAGAAGGGGCCGTCACTCCTCCAGTGATGGTGGTAAGAGGCAGAAGCGATCACGTTCTAGCGGACCCCGAGCTAGATCTCGCCCAACTACTAACGTCAATAAGGACGATATAAAAATTGCACAAGCTGCCAACAACGATGCGCGTTTATCTCGACAGTCATCGTCGTTGCAAGTGGACGATTATAGTTCTGTCGAAGGTTATGCTACTATCAAAAGGCGACCCAAAGGTGGCAGGAAGTCTCGGACTTCTGATACTGAAGCTATGGAAGTCGACAGAAGAAGATCGTCAGTTCAATCGGGTGGTATGACAGAGGAGGAATTCATGAGAATACACATGGATCTTCCGGCAGGCCGATCTTCCAGCAGAACGAGTGACAACTCTTCCGGGCGGGGGCAGATCGAGGACTCGGACAGCAGAAGTAAGAAAATCAGATGAAAGCAGTAGCATTCCTCGATCGTGGTATTCTATTCGACCAGATATTTAAAGATTTCTGGGTGATGTATTTATTTGATCCAATCAGCGGTTTGATCCTGCTATTATCAAACCCTTTTTCAGGCTTACAAAACCTTGATTACCAGTCTAACTCAGACATAGAGGATAGATTAGGTAGAGTGAGTAGTAATTGAGTGTAATTGAGTGTAATTGAGTGAATGAGTGAGTGTAGTGTGCTAATGCGAGTGTGTTTACTGTTTAATCGAGTACTCGATCAGCGAAGTGTGAAAAGTGTAAAAACACAATTATTTAATTGTTAGGGTGATTACCTGACAAAGTCTGTGAGCGTGTGACTAATTATTGTACGGTGTATTCTAGAAGATTCCCGTGATTTCGGGAACTGTCTACTTGTGGTGCCGTTATCCGTGGCTCAAGTCGCCTTATTTCTCACTCATCCACTCCCCTAAATCAAACTACTCTTTTAAAATCAAACACATTTCATGATCTTATCTTTTCTTACAGCATTAAAGCAGCTATTATGTTATCTCTTGCTGATTATCATCTTCTCTTCCTGCTTCTACGATATAATATTATTTATTCTACTGATGATTACAAGCCTTTGATTTATTGTTGTAACGTGGCAGCTTATGTATCACGTGATGTTACTTATGACCCATGTGACTGTGATTTCTTGCCTGCCCGTGCATGAGCGGCAGCTAACTGATCCGTGTATTACGGATATCTGATCCTTGGTATCCGGTGTTGTCTGCCCGCATCTGATACCGGCGGTCCAGAAATAACTCGGAGTAATTGCAGCGGCGGCCCGGTCTGGGAGCGCGACTGGAGGCGTGAGAAGAAGCGTGAGTGCCCGATCAGTCAACAGTATCGTATCAAGCGAGACCAGGTCCGCTACTCTGCGACGAGGTGAGTCAGGATCCCCCGGTCTAGAATATCAACCTAGAATATATTGCTGCTTCTCAATCCTCATTATCGTTACAATTTATGTTACAATCATGTTATCTGTCGTAAAACGTGAACTGTAATTTTGTTGCATATCACTGCACTGACCAAATGTACAACTTATTTCTTAGAAAAAAAAACACGTTCCATTGTATCACGTACGCATGGTAAGTCTGTTTGTTGAATGTCTTCGGCTGGACACTCTTTCTTACAGCACACTCGCGTATACTGTGGTTTGAAATCTTTCTAGCACATCACTTTATCTCACCTTATATTTGCTATAACATGAACAAAATACTTAGATGTTATAAGTTTCTAATACTGTTATCTCAGCGAATAACAGAGCTAGTCCTGGCCGAGCAAGTCCAGCTAGCACTAGCAGCAGCAGGACTGCTGCTCAGCAGACCGCACCACGCACTCCTTCCATCCGGAAAAGTGCTTCCGCTAATCTCAACCAAGACAGTCTTGCTTCTGTAAGTTTTATTCGTGAACTTCATGATCATCATGTTATGTATGATATAGTTTCAATTTCTTTGGACTTTGTATCAAATCCCTAATTAATATCCCCCACTATCTAACATTGTCCCCTCCGCAGGCGTTTGGAAGAGGCACCATCCCCAGGATGACAAGTCAGGACAGTATTGCCTCCTCTACTGACAGTAGTTCACATGATGTGGTAAGTAAGGGTTGAGGGTGGTCAGTGGTGTAGTGGTATACTAGGGACAAATAGTTTAACATTATTGGAAGTTCACAATGATAAAATAACCACGAATCTTCCTATTATTTCCCGTTAAATTGCTATCTAGCAAAGTTCAAGGGAAGTACTGTAAATAGACAGTACCACTTCATGGTATAAAATCGTCCTGATTATTAAAAATAAGAAATTCCAAGCACTTTCTAATAATAACTCATCCTTGAAATGTTATTTCTTTTTTAAAGTTATAAGACAAGTTCAGTAATTATATGTAGTACTTGTAGAAAGATAATGTACTCGCTATGTTGTCTATTTTTATTAGAAGTATTATGAATTGAGACAACATAGTAAACAACTAAAAGCTTCTTGTTAAAGACCGATCGTCTCCGAAGATTTGACATGAAACTTTAAGTTGACTAATTCGTTGTCTCATTTCGTATCATTTCTAATTTGTTCGGAGTAAGTTTATTTAGTAAGGAACCTTGCTGGGTGAAAAACCTCTCAAAATCAGTATTCGCAATTAGTGGGTTATTTAAATACGTTTACTTTGTCCCACATCTTGTTAAAACGTGTCTTTGTGATATACTGAATGTTGAATGAGTAGCTCGATCAGATAAGATATAGAAGAAGGCGGTTGTCAAGCGCGGGAAGCAACCAAAGTTCGGTCAAGTCTAGAATGGAGGTATTCGCTATCTCTTAAATATCTTACAGTTCTGTGCTCTTCTTTCATCTTCATAGTTCCAGCCTAATCTTCATTCTTTTATCGTTCCACACGTTTCCCACATATTATGTGTACATTTTCTCTGTAGTTTTACTTTCTAGATGTACTCGTAGATTGTTGTAATGTTGTAAGTGGTTTCATACCTTCATTTAATTTCATCGTTGATGTTCATGTACCAATGGTTGTATTATACAGATGTGAAACTTTGGTGTAAATTACTGAAACTTAAATCTTACCTTCATCTCAAATTTCTACGCATTGTCTGCTGAAGCAACAATCGTTTCCTCTGCCAATGGAATAAATAATAACAGAAACCATACGGAATTTTGAATTGATAAAATGTATTCCATCCACTTTTCGGATTAGAAGAATCCGTTGCTGTTTCTAGTTCGCTTTATAAACTATCAAAACTAAAATACATGCAATGAAATAAAACACAATTATAACCGTTGTCGTTGACACGATTTATTTTTGTTGAAAAGCACTTACCGCCAAATCTCAGGACATACAAGAAATAGTGCGAGCATCAGAGAGCAGCAGCTGGAAGATCCGAGAAGAAGGAGTCCACAAACTGAAAGTAAGGATCAACGAAGAAAGAGGATTCAACACTAGAGAGAGGAGAATGGTCCTTCATCTGTTCGAGCAAATGCTCAACGATAACCACGCTAAAATCCTCGGAACAGTAAGTTTGTTTTTCATTTCATTGTGTTCCTTGTGGTAAGATACAAATATCGAATTTTTGCAATTTACCGTTATTCAATGTGAGTTACTATTAGTTATTACTACACTTAGCGGGGAAGACCGAGGAATCTATTTTTAGGTTTAATGGTTGTTATAATGAAAGTATAATATAACTTATATTGGGATACTTTTCAGACGCTGGATGTTTTAGACGAATTCCTGGCTCTTTACCGAACCAACCTAACAGACTGGGGAGCCACCATCCTAGCCAAGGCTCTCTACCTACAGAGCATGAAACAAACCCAGAGTAACTTCGACCGTGTCATGAGATTACTGGACACCTTACACCGCTCCTTCCCGTACGATTTACAACTGACCTGGTGTTTCTCTATCCTGGACTCCAGACAAGTCAACAGCAACGCTAAGATGAAGGGAACCTTGTTGGAGTATATGTCCTGTACTTTCGAAGTCATGGACCCCATGGAGTTTATTCAAACCAAAGAGAGCACCATTGGACTGAAAGTCTTGCTTCAAAGCTCAACAGATCCGAAGGTTTGTGATATATTTTTGGCTGTAGCTGTAGTGTGCTTCTCAGACCTACTTTATGTGCTTTCCTCCTGGCTATACTTTCTTTTAAAATACTCTTGCAAAAATACAGCTCAACTAAGCTTAGCGTTTTCTTTTAGACGTCTAACCGTTTCAGAGACTTTCTTTAGATGTTCAGAGTTGTATCGGTTTTGATAAAACTGCCCACGAGAGAGTAAAAAAAGCTAATGTAGGGTCGCCGTGCTAATTGCTTTAAAACACAGAGTGGCTCAGAGTTAGGTGTTCGTTGGGGACTGCACGTATCATTCTTATCTCTTTCATCTCCCTTTGAACAGAGAATTTTGTTTTTCTAATCTCGGTAGAGGGATACAAACTTCATCTCACTTTGAACAGAGAATTTTAAAATCTAATCTCAATATTATAGGGATACAAACTTGGTCCACTCTGTGTTATCAGCTCCGTCAAATGCTTGATTTTGGCCATGTGGGCTGTTTTTGTGTTTTAATCTCGTGAAAATGTGGATGCTAACAGCTAACTTTTCCTTGATTTTGTTTTCATTGAATGTTAGCTTGGTATACGACTTTTGGGCAGAAAATCTCCTAAAATAGCTTTGAAAATCCAAAGCGAGTTTAGATTATATTACAACATTTCATCTCAGGCGCCGGATATCAGGAAAAAGAGTGCTACTCTGATAGCAACAATGTTTAGACACAGTCCACCAGTTTTTAGCAGTATTCTCAACACAGTTACTGAACAAGAGCAGGTAAATAACTCAACTAACATGTCTTCAGAGTCCAAAGTTCGTAAATTTAGAAAGTTCGTCCGAGCAAAGTCTAACCTTTCATCGTATCTTCTCCTTCAGGGTCAGTGTGTGATGTTATTACAAGAGACGGTCCCCAACATGATGTCCCAGGAGAGTGAAGTATTGATGGGCTACCCAGGCTACAACAAGATCGTGTCTGATCATCAGTCCGCTACTTCTGAGGAATCTGCTTCTCTTTTCGATGCTATAAACCAGAGGTATCTTGTTCATCTCAAGAGGAATAAGTTGTGTTGTGTGTCGCATGTTTCCAATGTTAAACCTTATAGCCTTGACTGTGGATGGAGAGTAAATGAAAAAATTTGTTTTCATTTTACCGCAATTTGTTACAGCAAGATCCAGGAACCCATCAAACGTGCATATCACGTGTCAAAGCAAGCTTTTGTCACGTCCAACCGTAAACACTATAGAAGCCTTAAAATGTAATGTCGTGAGAAATAGTGTTTGTGTTAATGTTTCTGTTAATAATGTGTGTTGATAATGAATCATTGGTATTTTTATCGGTGATTTTTACAGTGATTGTGCCATGATATGTTGCACGTTGTTTTAGTAACCAAATATCCTCGTACTTGCTTTCTGTCCTAAAAACCATTTGCAAGCGGGCTATTCACTAGCCTAACAAGTTCCCATAGGTTCGGCTCCAGTCCAGGGAGCTACACTTTCGACGTTGACGCGGAGAACATCAACCCAGACATACTGAACAGTCCAGTCAGCAAGATAAGTCTGGACAAGGATCGGGAGAACAGTTTCAGCGAGCAGCGTGATAGATCTCTCACTGCAGAGCTTCAGGTACTGAATCAATCAGATCTATTTAGTCCTTTATTTCGCAATCCACATTAGAGCAAGTACGTGAACATGTCTTGTTCCGCCTTATTTCAGTCGAGTGAAGGTGGGCTCAAGATGCTCTTCATCGCTCCTCTTGAACGATAGTTATTAATCTGTTCTGCAGCTTAGTCTATATCTACTCAGAACTTTAATTTCACGTCCAATCACGTGCAGCTGTTCGGTTACAAATCAATCTTATTTGACCTCGCATATATACATACCTTAATTTCACGGCCGATCACATGCAGCTATCCTTTTGCAAAGCAATCCTATTTGCCTATATATAGCATATACGAACTATATATAGCGCACACGAGCTCCATTTTTATGAACAACTGTTCTGATTGATTGTGTTTGACTGTTCACAACTACCTTGTTCAGGCCGTTTCTAATTTGAACAACAATACCAACGGAGGATCAGCATCATCACCCCTCCTCCAGTCTCCATCACTCAACGGAAGTATGGCTGAAAACAACAAAGTGTTTGCCGTTTTGGAGGCACTTCTCGGCGGCACTCAAGATGAGAAATCAGCCGCTCTGATTGAGTCTCTGAACCTGCTGAAAGAGGACACCTCTATAAACGAGGAGAACAGCTACGATCTGCTGAGTGCCATTATGAGTTGCACTGAAGAGGATGACACGGAGCTGGTGTCTAAATCTCTGAAAGTTCTCAACAAGTTCCTGGTTTATCAGGCAGACTACATGGCCCCTCACTGCGAGGAGGTTGTTACTAAGATCGTCAGGGCTAAGTGCCCCATGCAGCACGCTGATGTGAGTTTGAATACTTTGTTTATTACAATTTGCTTTATTTTATTAAAACTTCAGGAGGCTGGTCTTAGTTTGAAGTATAAAACAGTTCATTATATCATTTTGTTTACCTAACCTATTTTATTTCAGAGTGAATCACTGTACCAACTGCTTGTTATGGTGTACAAAACAGAAGCTATCTTGAATCTGCTAGTTCCGATGTTGCAGCATGAGACTTATCCAGTCTTGCTGTCCGTTATCAACCTACTATACTCAGTAAGTCTTATATTTTGTTCATCATATCGATATTAACTGTAATTTAAAGACTTGCTAATTCTAATTATCTGTGTACTACCATGCGTACAATTTGGATTACAAATCAACCTTTATTAAACAATCCTCACCATCAGACGCTGAAGCAGAACACTCCAGAATCACAGTCGAAGTTGGAGTCCCGCCTCCCCGCTCTGTGTGCAGCAGTGTGCCCACAGTGCTCGCACGTGGAGACAAATGTCAGGAAACAAAGCATCTTCTGCCTGGTGGAGTTACTCCTCATATTCGGGACTGAAAGGGTGGACACCATGTTGGACTCCCTAACTGTCAGCCAGGTGGGTCACGCCTTCTTTTTAGCGAAACAATATGGAAATGATTGCTTTTTTAACTGTCTCGACTCCATTGCTTTGATTGAATAAATATTGACTGTACTGTTGGTGATATTCCGCAGTGTTCTTCCTACAACACCCTTTCTTTTCACTAATAAGATTTTCATGGAGACAACCAAACATAGTTTGGGGATGTAGCAAAACCTAAAATCCCGTATTAGTCCCTATCCCGTCCCTTACTAAACCCTTGTCCCTCCTCCCAGAAAAAGCTGGTGTACCTGTACTACAACCGGCATCAGCGTAACGTACGGTGAAATCCCACACTCCGACATTTTCGTCACCCGATCTAACACGAAGTTAGAGACCGGACGAGCAATAAGTAAATTTATATCACGACAATCAACGCCGTGTATGTGTGCTGAGCAGAGATTATGATATAATTCAGAACGGAGAAACTGTGGTTAATGGAAAGCTGGTTTTGTGGTTCGAATTGATTGAGACAGTCTAGGATCGGACGAATCTGATACGATGACTCTGGTGGTTTGCTTGTTTTTATTAGTATCGTGGTAAGAATACTGGCGATACGACTTCCTTCTTGAATTGGTTAATTTGGAAACTTAAACGTCTTCTACTCTGAGAACAACTGAATAAGTTCAGTTACCTCGATTTTGTTAGAGCCTGAAAGTGCATCAGCAACGAATGCTTGGTAAAGGCCGATATGACCTGAACTTTTCGGTATTTTGCTTTAGTTCGGATTATAATTTCCGATACGCTGAACCTGCTGCGTTGCTATTATTGATATTAATATGGGCATGTTTTTTCGCAGAATTATGTTTATCTTCATAAACTTGTAGCGATAGTGCTTGGGTATTGAATTATAGAATACATGCACCCAAAATTGTTAATAAAGCCAAACATCGATTTTGTTAACGCAAGTTATTTACACTAATCATAATAATATGTACATTTCTATTATTCCTGCATATGTTATTTACTGTAGTTAAAGCGAAACAGTACCATCGTTAATAGTATTGAAGGGTAGAATTAGTTCGTGCGATTCATAATTGTTTAAATGTTAGATTTCATGTAAATTGGCCCCCTTTACTCGGGTAAAGATAGAACTAGCAGTTATTGATGTGTGTTAATCAGCAAAAGAAATAATTTGTAAATCTTTGAAACTTATCATTTTTACTTTTTTCCCGTTATGAGCGATCTCCGAACAACATCAACACCTTTGACCGGGGTTTGAAAATTCAATCATTATTTATGAAATGTAACATCATGTTTACACACAGTTTTATATTTGAAGGAATAATTGCTTTTATTTTCGTCCAAATGTTCACATACCAGCTTCAAGGTCTGTGACTAGGTTTCTGTATCCTGTTAAGTGTTACTGTTAATCATAATGTTGCTCCAACCAGAGCGTTCTAAAACACTCAAACTTCGACCTATTTTTGAACACTGATTCCTAATCACTCCACATGACATAGGCTATGGTTAAAATGCTTATCTAGCGAGTTAATATTTTAAACATCAGGGCCATCTAGAGAACGCGTTTAGGGGGCGTTTTTGATACACTATATTTCACTCTGATAGTGATAAAATTTAGAAATTTATCAAATATCCGGCTATAATAGTAAGTAGTTTAGAAGGTGCTTGGCCGGATATCATAACAATGATTTCGGCTCATCATGATAGCATGATCAGGGTAGCATGAAACGTAGAGAAAAGTGTCTAGGAAAAAAGTCAAGGGGGGGTCAGGCCATGATTACGTAATATTGCTGTCAGGAGGGGGGTTGGGTCTTGATTACGAAAGGGGGGAGGGGGTAAAAATTGCTCAAATATTGATTACGTAATATGTGAACGACCCCTTGTCATACGTTGTATGACCCGCCGCGCACGGGTGCGCGGCTCCCCCTATATCGTCAGGACCTAGTGAAACGACCGTGGGGGTCACGACGTGATACAACTTATTGATAGACGGACGTTACTGATCGTCTTAATTTCTTCGAATTCGAAGCTTTCTTCTCGATGGCCATTGTTAATCATTAATGGTCTGGCCCGGCGTGCGCTACTTCGTAGCACTTGTCATCGGGCCAACATTTCAAAAAGAATGCGGCGCGCGCTACTTCGAAGAAATTTAGACGAGTAACATCCGTCAAAGTGCAAAGTAACATTTAACGGGTGATACTCGTAAAATATCTGTTCCATATATTGGACCGTCGACGAGTCCAACTCGGCGCGCGTCCTGGTAGGTTGTAAACCTACAAAGTAACATCCGTCACGTGATGGGTTGACATGATCGTCAATAAATGATCAAGCACGCTTACTACTACTAGTTTATTGAATTGCTTTCTTTCTTCTTATTTTAGTCTACCTAGCTTTCTAGTCTATTGCTTGTAGGTTTATACAATCTACCAGGACGCGCGCCGAGTTGGACTCGTCGACGGTCCTGTAGGTTTACAACCTACCAGGACGCGCGCCGAGTTGGAACAGATATTTTACGAGTAACACCTGTTAAGTCTATTGCTCGCTTTTCCCACGTCACACGTATGCTGATGCAGGACCTGGAAAATAGCGCCGCGCATGCTTTCGCCATGAGCAGCCATTTGCCTAAAATTTGGTACCACTACCAGGTGACTTTACTCAATGAGATCTTTCCTGTTTCCAATGATGTATAATATGTCGGGGTTTTAGACATAAAATATTCACCCGCAAGTTGATGCTCTTTTGGAGGACTTCGCCGCTTCGACGCGCCGCGCAAACTAGCATTCTTGCTCTGCTTCGCAGAGCAACGATCTCGACGGATTGACATCGTCAATCAAATGCTCTTAGTCTTAGTACATACACAATAAATTGCTCTATAACCAGAGCCCTCTCGCTTGCAGTAGCGCGCGACCGCCGAAGGCGGCAAAGTATATTATACTTGTGAAACAAGCGCGTCACGCAGTACGCGTATACACATGGCTATGTGAACACAATAATTGTAGCGCGATGCACTACTGGGTCGCGCCGCGCATCAAATAATTCTTCTCGGTAGATCGGCGAGATGCACCACTGTGCCTCACCGAGCTGCGAAGGATTGACATCGTGAATCAAACACAATAAGTATAAGAACAAGCACGCCTGGTAACACCGAGCTGCGAAGGAAATTGTTGTAGCGCGATGCACTACTGGGTCGCGCGCGCATCAAATAATGCTTCTCGCAACCACATCTTCGGTAGATCGGCGAGATGCACCACTGTGCCTCACCGAGCTGCGAAGGATTGACATCGTGAATCAAAGGAAATTGCAGATCGTAAATCAATTCACAATTGATACTTACTGGGCCGCGCTCAGCCTGTCATTCCGCCTAATCTCTATTCGGTTAATGAATGTTAATGAACATAATAGCCTGGGGTCCTCAGGTAACCCCTGTATCGTCAGGACGATACAGTGAAGCGACCGTGCGCGTGGGGGTCGCAACGTGATACAAAATAGTAGTGAGTAGTTATATATGCAATACGGACATTGGACATGTCACTGCACACTGGTCACGTGATCGGAGCATTTGTTATCACTGGCACTAATAACTCGCGTCACAGTCAGCACTCAAAATACGTTACAGTTTGGAGGACTTCGCCGCTTCGACGCGCCGCGCAAACTATTATTCTTCATTCTTACTTTGTACTTCGCATCAAGATCGTTACTCTGTTAATTCGCAGAGCAACGATCTGGAAGGGTTGACATCGTCAATCAAGTCACACAGTCAGCACTCAAAGATACGTCAATTTAGGGAGATGTCACGGGAGCCTCATTTCAGAGATATAATTAGAATATAGAGGTGTATAATTAGTATATAATATGTATATTCATATAATATAATATGTATATTCATATAACCAGTAAAATTGGAAAGTGATTATGCAAGCTTGGCAATAGGCCAACTAGGTCTACAGTCTAGACTCTTCACAGTTTACAACTGTGGGAGGCATGGAGTTGAAGCTAATTTCTCATAACTTACAAAGGTCTCCTCCCGGTATATTCATATAATCACCGACAAGTGACAACTATTTCACTTTGAAGGCCGCGTGCCAAGATACAGAATTTGACTCCTATTTCAGAGGTAAGGTTGGCCAAGGATCTGCGCTTTGTAGGTCAAGTATTAAGACCTTGGGATTTTGCCCAAAGTATACCATATTATTTTGTAACTTACAGTTGAAGTCGATTGAAGCGAATACAAAATTGCATTTTCAGGCATTACAATAATGATCATTTTTACAACAGAATATTCTGTATTTACCCCGACGGATATGCCGCATGAGAGAGCCGTTTTTCTAATCCTGCCACTACTGAGACGCCCAAATTTGATCCTTAAATGGAGCTAACATCTTTATTCTTTATCATACGAATGCGATGTGATTCATTCTTACCTTTTGAGTAAAAGTTTATAAACCTTAAACATAAATGTCAAGTGTCAACCTAACCTACGATCATCTGAGAAGTATGGTGACGCCTAAATACGAAAGAAACACACTGATCATTTCCGGTATATCGACGAACTGGTCATAAATTATCAAAAAAATTACCGATATGACATAATATACAGTCAATTTGACATGGATATATAAATAAGATTGTAACGTACAAATTTATGTTAAATTAATCCATGGTCCAAATTAAATATGATATTTGACATAAACAAGTGTTTTCATTGCAACCAAAAATTTGAAGAAATAGAAAAAAACCAGCTCTAAATCATCCATAATTAGACGTTGGTAAAACAAACAAAATACCAGTCATACTGACCATACCTGGTCATACTGGTATATTATATATCAGTTAAAGGTAAGAGAAAACATACGAATTAAAAAACTCGATATCCATTGGCAACTTCAGCTTTAAAGAGCATCTCATACCACGGTGTCTCAAGACAATCAATAATCTCAATACTGTTCTGTCAAAGTAACTTCATAAAACGAAATTCTTTGTATTTGTAACACTCTGTAAAAATCCTCAAGCCCTTGGAGGAAGTTAGAAAACAACTTTGATTGAGCACCCGAAATATCACCATCACAACAGTCAATATGAGTACAAATCTCGCATTCTGCTAAGACAGTATCATCATCTTAAGGAAATCAGTCCAGTCGACGCTGCGGGAGGTAGCTTTGATGCCCTCCCAGACTCTGTTTATCAGGTACCATCTCATGTTGCTGTTAGCACCCATCACAAGTTCCCTCATCTCTTCGTTATTCCCCTCTGCTGCATCGTTATACTGGTTTGCTGCGGAGATACGTTGTTAAGAATAGAAATTTATGGAAAATTTATAACTTCTTTCCCAAGATCGCTAATTTAGACGACAATGATCGGAATGTTGATAAACTATCATCTGAATTTAAGCCCACCTCTTTGAACGAGAAGGTCTATAATTTTCTGTATTTCTGGATCCTCTGTGTGGTTTTCTTCGGCAAAAGCCACGTCGGGGATCTCTTCCTTCTTTACCTGCGAGAAATTCATATCACCTTGCGAATAGTGATACCGACAAAAGATAAACCAAGAAATTACTACTATACTGATTTTAATGTCGAAGACAAGGAGTTATATAGTTATATAGCCACTAATTATTTAAATTTGTTGCTTGAATTCACTCAATTGTTATAGAGCCAATAAAAATCATTAAATATCGTTTGAAATGAAATCGTTACCTTAAGAAAAGGAGGTTTGGAGCTGAAGGCAATGTGAGATTCACACTTTTTGGAGGGTAGAATATGGGCTGGATCGGTGCACTTCACAAAGTGTTCTGCTAGTTGGGGAATATCCTCAGTGCTGTAATTCTCAAAATCTTTCAGTTCAAAGTGACATTTTGAGATTGTGTGGTTCTTAGAACCAAGACGCCGTCTCATAGAGACTTGATTTCTCTTGTCTCGATTGAGACTTGTAGATTTCTGGACCGGTTTGCCCGGAGATTTGGGAGGAATGTTCGAGATAAGCGTCTCATCTGTGTGGCGGTCATCAAGTATTTTGTCGTCCACTATCCGTCTTATTCTCTTGCTAAGTCGTCGAACTAGGTTACTCCTGACGAAAATCATCATTTAAATAACCATTACGAAATACCGGACGGCTACTTTGTAGATCATATTTCATAATATCCTATTTGAAATTGAATGTGTTAATATAGCATACTAATCAACGAATGATGTCATACTCATAAACGCACTTTTCCTCAAATAATAAATAATACACGATTATGTCAGGGTGACATAATGAATGACCACTGACCGCCCTAGAGGAAGCTAGAACATGTACAATTTATTGTGGTTACATGAGGGACTGTTTTCAATTATTACGTCAGCAAACTTTTGTCAATTTTAGACCCCCTCCCCTCCGTCAGCAATCGTCCGCTTTTCCAAACCCCCTTTCCCTTAAAAGCTGCTGAAGTAATATGGAAACAGACCATCATCGCTACCGGATTGATATTAAAGAAAGACTGGCTGGTTGATATAAAAGATCATTATGTTTAATTGTAAGCTCGAATACCTCGCCAAAATTCACGCGGAAATCGAATTTTCTGGAGGATCGACAAAAACAACAGAATTAGCGCCGGCGAGTTGATTATTTATTGACTTACTTGCGACGCTCGATGGATTTCTCTGATTTAGGAAGGGAGCTGTCACCGGTGGGAGGATCAGAAGTCGTCACAGTTTTCTCCAGGGACCTCTCTTTTGGCTTTGCTGTCATTGTTACAATTGCTAATGATAAGTAACTACGTTAGAAGAAACAAATGAATTATAGTTATACAACTAATAGTGAAACTAACTAATAGTGAAACTAACTAATAGTGAAACTAACTAATAGTGAAACTAACTGAAATGTGTGGACAAGCTTATGCGGGTGAAGAGTATCCCATCGCTATTAGAAGGAAAATATCAAACGTTCTGCCACTTAGGATAATAACTTAGTTTATGACTGATGACAGCGCTATTACAGAAATTAACGTTTTTAAATTCTCCAAGACTTGGCAGCTTTACAGGGGAAACAAGTGCTAATGTGACATCAGATAACGTATATATACAGATCATCGGAGATTAAAACTTATCAACACACGTGTGATCTAGAATGCTCAGTAACAAAAAGTTACGAATTGGACAGACGATAAAATAACGGAAAAGTTCTCGAACCTATCATAATTCCGTACCGATACTAAACAAAGCCCTTACCACATCAGCTAATTACCTAACAGGTAACTTGAACATTATACATGTATATGTGACCTATACTTTGTTTTATTCATAGCTTTGGTTATTATGTTATTAAGTAACTTCTCTGATATTATTAGTGTTATTATCTTCACTATCTAAACTGCAAAGTCATGAAAAGTTGACGAATTTGAAACGTTCCTAGCGTGGTTACTAAGCACCACTCATCTAACTACAAAACAAATAACTAGACTAGTTATGCTTTTAATTAGTGCTATTCATCGGTATTATTACAATTTCAAATTAATTCATCCCATAGCACGGGCACGATAAACTGTCTGCTAAAAGCTCGAAATTGCAATAGAAATTAGAATTACACGAAAAGCTCGAAACTTAGAGGCCAGCTTTTCACGTTGTGTTAATACTTTCACTTGTTCAGCTGCCAAGTCATGAAAAGCTGTCAAATTTGAAACGTCCCTAATACGATTAATAAGTATTAAGCAATATATCTCAGTAGTTCAACTTTTAGACCTACAAACATGCTATTTCCAGTTCCGGCATACTGCAGAAGTTATGCACACGATGGCTCAAGTTCACACGTTAAATTAACTCGGCTATTATCTCAACAACACAGTGTAGAGTTGTAGACGTACAGCTCGCAAGAAAAGGAGACAAAATCTGATAAATATAATTGTTGTGGATGTGCAACAAATTGAGGTCAATTTAACTTCGTTTGTTTGCTAAACCGAAAATCACATACTATACAGGCCACATATAATTAAAAGGAAGACGAACGACTTTCACTCAAATTAGCAGTCATATTGAATGTTGATCCTACAGCTAGCAAATAGAAAGAAGTTCTTAGGCAGAAATTAGTCGAGAATTATCGACAGCTGCCCAGTTCGTTAGTAAGTAGAGGGAGTGGTGGGTAGACGCCGCCAGCTAGACTGAGAAAATATGTTTAATAATAATTGTTAACTACCCGCACGTATACAATACTGCAAAAACTTTTATTTACAATGCAACACTGCTACTGAGCCATTATGCTAAGTGATAGGTGACAGGGCAGATTCTTTTATAGCAACATGACGAAACAGAAAGCAAAACTACTTTCAACGGGTTTGATACAATCACATGATTGCCTGCTAGATGAAATCATCGTCACATGACAGAGAAATGAAGGTCAGGTGCCACAAACTAAGATAAGAGAAGGAGGGATATGATGAATAATGTTATGCGAGTGAGGATGTCCCCAGGTGGGTGCAGCTGCGTCGGGAACAATGCTGCATCATGTTACGAGTAAGTAGGCTCGGAACGTTAATGTTGTTAGATGAGGTAATATCACAACAAAACTATGACCTTATGAGGTCAAAAGAAGGGGCAGTTGGGAATTGGAGGGTGATAGTAAGTCGATCATTGGTGCATAACACAGCTGGTTCGTAGATTACACGGCCAACAGGCTAAAAATAGGGACACCTCAACTAAGTGCTCTTAAGGCAGAATGCCAGGCGGAAGGATCTTATAGAAAATACCAATCATAGTTTCTCCTTTATCATTGCATTTGTGAGAGAGAAATTAAGACTGCCACATTGAAACAACAAAGGAGCAAGAATTCCGTTAAATGAGCGAGGGTATCGCCGCCCTAGTACACACATATCTGAGTGAGAGAGATGACCTCACCCCTTGCTCTCTGTAGACAAGAGAAGAAATGTAGCTACACACACAGGCTGTATTATAGGAGAGGAGTGAGGCACGTAATGACAGTAATTATATACGTACTGGATGAGCCAGTGGTAGGAGAGATAGAGCGGGTAATGGTCAGCAAGTTGGCACGAGCTCAACAGATTCATTACAGAGCTTTACTTGCTAACCAGGACCGGAGTCAACTCGGACAAACGTAAGGGAAGAAAAAACAATAGAAGAAAGTGAGGGCGGTGCTATTTTTATATTGATGCGTCTTAGTGACGGTGAGGAAGGGGCTTGTCATTATGAGTCCTGGGAACTACATATAAGGAGGTGTGAAGATGACAGAGATAACTGATTGAATCAGAGACGGAGATTGCCGCTCGGAACTGGGAGTAGGCTGTCATTGGTTGAAATTTGGATTTGAATTTGAGCTCGGTAAAATTATCTAGCGCTTGCATATCCTGTGCAAGATGCATATAAATATAATGACCTCATAAAATTGAATTATTACAACTGGTAATACTAGACCAAGATAATTTTCGTGCGGTAGAAGCAGTGAAACTCACGCGTTGTAATATGGTGCAACGTACATTGCAGATAATAAATAGAAATTGCAATTGTTACCATAGAAACAGAGTTTATATCAATTAAGAGTATCTATTTACAGGGTTTCTGGGGCACATGCCATATTCTACCAACAAACAACTCAATTCCTTAAATTCGATTTACGGTACTAAACCAACATGGATTAACTCAAGCTGAAATCTGGATGCCAGATTCTAGAATTTAGTCGGAGCTGATAACTGATCAAGATCGTCCGCTAATATAATCCATTGAACAAATTTAGGGGACTGATAAATTACTATGGTGGACGGTCCTTTACATTAACCGGGCATGTGGGAGTTTAAAGTGCACAAAATCAGCTGACACAAACACATCATGACAAAAAATCGAGGTTGTGCGGAGCCTGTTCAGCGTGTCCCCTATCCGAGTGTATAACCAGCTCGGGGCTCCAAGCAAACTCGGGGTTAGTTCGGAAAGTAAAATTGTGGCAGCCCACTTGGATCTCGGCTCCGTTGGGCAACTGACAGGGTCCCTCCCACCCATGTACGGGGACCTTGGGAGAGCAGATACACCGGGTGACGGAGTGGGGGGTGGAGCTGCAACCGTAAAACAGGGAGTTAACAACCGTACCGTACTCGGAGTAGTTCAGAAGTTCGTGGATACCGGTAACCTTGTCGAACAGGATACAGCAGTGACGGAGAGAGACTGCGTTACACACGTCCGGCTCCAGTTTCAGATCCGCACGGTGACCTGGAAACATAACAATTAATGTACTGATACGTCATGAGGGGTTGGGTCTCATACAATAATATAACAATGGAGTGCAACACTTGAGCAATGTAGCTTGAGCAGATTCAATTCTACGTGATATTTGGTTATGGAGGTATATACTGTAGAGTACGTAAATTGGAATTTAGGAGAAATCACGTACTAATTCCACGAGGAGCCATCAGCCATGTGGTATATACTATGGAAAATCACATACCTATTCCGATAACGAAGGAGTTCTTCTTGATCGAGTATTTTGTGTCCCCTTGTATGAGGAAGGAGTGTGCCACCACGTGCGAGAGCGGCAAACAGTTCTCTGAAACTATAACACCACCCATTAATAAAGTGTTAAAATGTTGTTGGTGTATTTGCAGATTGTGTATATAAGCAGACTTTTTATGGAATCAGAATGACACCAAATCAGGCACGAAAGTATTGAATACATACACAGTTCAGTACACTCAGTATGTGACTGAATGAATACCTCATCCGAATGAGTGGTTAAAACAAGCATCGTGGGGGAGATATATATTAGCCCTATTAGCGAGCTATATCGAGCTGTATATACCGTACCAAGAAGCGCATTGGCTCCCCAATTTTCATGGTATAGGTCACTTATCATTGTCTAAACACCCACGTAGATGATTTTAGAATACCCAGTTAAAATATCAAAGGAAGTTTAGCAAACCTTTATGGGGAGTAGAAGGAGTCGGAGGCTGAGGGATGGAAAATTGCGAGGGAGGTGGAGGGAGCAGTGAGGGGTCTTTCGACACGATTCCCCCATTTGGTATCCCTGACCCAACTGACAAAGCGTGGTTCTGTTCGAGAAATTGAGCCGCTAATTTTCTTATTGCATTCTCTGGCATACTGTCTAGCAATTTGTCTGAAAACACAGATAGTGAGGTGAAGAAATTTAACTTCATTATAATTCAAGGAACTAGTCACGAGCCAAATAAAGAAAAACATGGCAACTTATTCCAAAAAATTTCTATATGTTTTCAATCGTAAAATGAATTCTGAATTTTCACTTGAAGTATATTATCTTACTTATATCCGGGGCTTTGAGACCATTATCTCGCTTCGGAACATCCAATCTTCCACCGTCCTCCTTTTTAACAGGTCTCATTGGCTTTTTCTTAGCACTGTTGGTAGGAAGCAGCCCAGAACTCTCACCATGATAATGCTTGCACTGTTTGGCGGCGTGCTTGCACCCGTTTAATGTACAGAAACTAGACACCCTAGCCGGACTGCTCTCAGACTTAACCATGTTATCAGAAACTTTAGCCGCACTCAGTTCCTTTAGAGATTTCGGGCTTTTGGTGGAGACGTTGCTGCGACAGAAAACCAGTCCTATCTTGTAATACTGTTCCACCGCACCCGGTATCTGGAATAAATTGTTGACGGTAAGTTTCGACAAGGAAACATTTACAAGGAGTCAACACCCGGGCCTGAACAAAGCAATGTAATTACATTAAAACATACACTTCCAATATGCACAAAAAGTATTTTTTGGTAAAATCGAGAAGAGGTCCTAATCAGTAAAGTCTAAGCTAAGGCGGGTTTGGTGATATAGTAGTACAACGGCTTGTAAAATGTAACATTTTTGGAATATTTGGGCATGATCATTCCAGCATCACGAGAGATAGATTAGGTTAAGCGTGTAAAAGTGTGATCAAAATGGTCTTTACCGTGGTCATTCTCTGAACTGTTTCTATCGAATTTTGACACTTTTTAGCTCTCTTCAGAAACTTGGTGCGGACAGCATGTTCGTTAACAGGCTCCAGGGCACTTTCGTGAGCCAGTATTCTGGTACTCAATCGTAGAGAGTGGAACTCTAAAAGAATAGCGGTAATCAGTGATCAAGTTGAGTGATAACACGTTATTATACACATAGACAGGAATAAGCGTGTTCCCATAATAACATGTCATGCAGATTGCAGACTGGATAAAGTTATATGGCTTCGTTCTTCAAACGAGCTGTAATAAAAAGTTACAAAGCAATGTTAAACGCACTAGGAATGCTGTATTGCGGGTGTAAGGGACACATCCACATTCCGGTGGGACGGAATGGCAGGGGCGGATATATGCAGTCGAGGTGAAACGCCAGGGGGCAGTAACAGCAGAAAATCAAGGGTCTATGTCCTCGATCGCTCTTATCACATTTGAAACACACTGGAGTTGCCGTGAAATTCTGAAGATCGTATGGATAGGAGGAATTGAATTTTCTTTTGCTTTGTTCCGCGGAAACGGGGTTCAAGTGACGGCGTTTCCGTGATTGCAGCTCTGAAATAACATTATTTATTGGGAGTTCAATTAAAAATTGGATCTCTAAGAACAGATTCTAAGAAGAATCATATTCTTGAGTTATCATTAGAAACGGTATAACTAAAATCGGAGTACGGGTCCAAAAATCGTTCCAAAAGTTTCAAGCAGCAAAATTTAACTAATTGAATTAAGTTGAAGTCGCAAGGATTCTCACCGGAACCGGGAAGATCTGAAGTGGGTAGTAACTCCTCTGGTAGTTCGTAAGGAGTTGGAACAGGGCCAATGTCGAACACTGCATTCGTCAAATATTTGTTAGAAGGATTCTGAAAAGACCGACATTAGGAGAAGGCTAGTTGTCAGCTACGGTAAGCAACATGGCTAAGCTGGAATGTAAGACTCACCCAACGCCGTGTGTGTGTAAGAGCGCTTGATCCAAAATTATTTGCACAATTTAGAAAGCGCGCGTAAAGGCGCGCATATCCACTACGTGACATTGCTACTCTCTAATCACATCGAAGGGCAAATTTAGCTGACAATTTTGGCTTTAATTCGGCGGCAAAATGTAAACATACCTTTTCGTCGGCTAGTGGTGATCCAAATTGGCTCATTATCTCAAAATAAACTGTCAAATCTATCGATCAAGTCTTACAGGAGAAACCATCTGGACGTATAAAATAATGGAGAATGATTTTCAATGATGTGAGGATTGGAAATTGCTCTGCTACCCGCATACGCATGTACAGACCCAAATGGCCGATAAATTAGGTTGAACATAAATCACGCTTGTGGTCCACGTCTAAGAAGTTTAGAAATATAACAAAATAGAGAAGAAGTATGTGTTCACTGTGCATGTGTCACGAGTCTAAATGTTCTCTACAAAATTAACTGCAAACAACGCCCACCTCACACGTCGTCTAGGCAACCAGATGTTAGAGCAGAAATACTCAGTCTCCAAGACACAGAACAACCTTGCTACACAGCAGCTGTGTTTCAGACAAGCTCCTTTTAACACACTAGCAGGTGTACACTCCCTTGCTGGGATAAGTGGAACACGTACACACAATTCCCGCATAATTACTCAGCGTGTAATATATTATATCGGTACACCCACAAACACAAACATTAAACATGAGGGAAGGATATTTGGGGTACATGCACTGTTCCACCAAGAACAGGTCCAAGAAGACTGATTAAAATATTAGATTACGGTTACCTAGCAATACGCATACACGCATGTGGGCGTGCTGCATTTATCTGATTAGAGGCAAGGAGAAGAATATGATCGCACCCACACACACTGGCCGTGCTATTATGAGATAGCAGACTCCTAATTTACACGCAAATATCAGAGCCACACACGGGTCATTACAGGAACATTAGCCGATACATGTATAATAGTCTGTACACAGTACACAGCATGCTATATACAACAACGTCACACTTATACACTCTCGCATAGCTTAGAATTTTCTCGACCTCAGGTATTCTCTTGGTGTGTGTGTATGCAAAAATATTCGCGTGATTTGGCTTTCAGAATACTGTGGATATGTGCCCATAATATATCCACGGAAATATTATACAGAATACCTTTTAACCTCCTACCTACATACATTCTCTGTACACAATTTAACAGGATTTAAGTTTCACGACGACACTGCATGATGTATATTACATGAGGCAGGAGAGATTATGGGTGATGTAGAACAGTTTCACGGTGTGAAGGGCCACGTATCAGGTTACCCCACCCAATAGACTTTTAGGGGATAATCTAATGAGAAAGGCGAGCAGCCCGGCCGTGGATAAAGAAGGTCGAAAAATTCAATTTGTGCACAGCCCACACACACAGCCGGGGGGGGGGGGGGGGCAGGGGGAGATCGCATCACCTTTTTTTTGAAGGTACCGCTCCCAACGGTCAAAGTGTAAAATTATTATATACAATACAATTTGAAAATATAAAGATAATATCAACACATATTACTAGTCCATCCTGGTATGAGGTTGATGTCGCTGTTCGTGTCGTCGCACCATTGGACTGCTCTTCCTCTGTGTCCTCGGATGGCGGCGAGGGTTGTGCGGAGGATTGAGAAGCGGAGTTTTCGGCGTATGTGAGAAATCGTATCACTATAGGGTGTTCCCCTTTTGTTTGATATGAGTGTTGCGATTCTCTTATGGAAAGCTTCAGCCTCTTTCCCCATGCTTCCGCTAGTGGAGAAAACGAGGGGTGTAAATGTGCTTTTCTCCACTTCCAGGACCCGGCTGTTATATGTTCGTTTCTTTTCAGCCTCGTGTTTCTGAAACACTTTGTCAATGGGCCCACTGTTGCTTTTATTCCCGTCATGAAAGACTCGAACGTCGAAAAACGTCTTGTCCACGGTGTTCCAGACCCCCCTTGCCGTGATGTCCAGCCTTGCATCTGGTCGGGTGTTAGTCGTCTTGAGTTTGAAGGTTTCTCCTGTTAGAGGTAGCAATTTTGGTTCTGTCCGAACGTCTTTGCATACCTCTTCCAGGAGACTGGCTTCTAGGTCGCGGATCTGGTTGTGCCGCATATCCCTGTAACCTCCCATAGCACAGGATAGTGCATGGTCTATGGTGTTCGCTTTAGAGCATGCACATATCTGCGGTCTGTCTCTGATTGGGTGTTTATATCTCATCAGGACGGCGTCGGAAAATTCCTGCTTTGATAACGTATAGTGGAATTCCTCCAGCGGTAAAGCGGTAAGCCATGACGATGCTCCTTTCTGGCAGAGAATGTCCAGGTTTCTGCTGATGTCGTCAGTACATTTTGCTTTAATAGAGGCCAACTTGTACTTATTGTAGAGGGTTTTCTCACTAGAAATGCCATTTTTCGCATGTTTGATCGCATCACCTCCCCCCGTGAGAGAAAAAATATTCCCATTGAAATTAGAAACTGTTCATAACAAGGTCTAAATTCTCAAGAAAGAAGCTATATTTGATCTTGTGGCAAAAAAAGGGAGGTGTTGGCGGTCGCTAATTCACTTGCGAGTGTAAAAGCGCTCAGGACGTGTGTGGACACTCAGTTACACGCTAATAAGGAACTGCACTTGTTACACACAATTATATAACCGTCATAATATCACACAGAACACTTATACACGCCCACCATGCCAGAGTGTATATTACCATGGCAATTTCCTACACACACACACACACACACACACACACACACACACACAAGTACACATGGTGTTTTCCTGCCACGTGGGGTATGATGTACAGTGTACACGCCTCAACAGCAGCTGTCTGACTTATGTGTACACTTGTGATGGGGAGGCAGCACTAGCTGTGGGGCACACATTCTTCTCAGGTGTGTGTGTCTACTAACATACTGTCCTACTGTTCACATTAACAACTATATAATTCCCTGTTGTATATAATGCTAAAGACACAACATGTTATTAAAACAGTGTATATAATGTACTACCGCCGATATGCGGGGGGTAGTAGTGCACAGTAATTGTAGTTCAAATGTACTCACGACGACTGAGATGGGTTGGGGAGGGGTGCAGCTGTTACATAACCATTCCTCTGACGGCAAGTTGTTCGGATCCAGTGGGGGTTCGCTGAAAAACAACAACCATGGTTGGATATCTCACAAATACAGCAATCCTCGAGAACTTTATATTTAAAACAAGGTATTTCTATAATATACATGGTCCGGTCCTTTTAACAAATGGAGACCGCGCTATTTAGCTCATGAATTATACCTTTTAAAAAGAACATGAGGCCGGCAAGGGAACATTATAACTCCTAGTGAGAGATATTGAAACTTACCAGCAGTGGTAATGGTAGGCAGCAGGACACTTCTCGCAGCATATTAGCCCTCCACCCTCGCTGCAGTAGCTGCAGAAGTCGTTGTTGGGTTTCACACCTTTAGTCTTACCAATCCTCTCGTGCTCCTGGTAGCTGAGAGATACGCTCCCAGGCGGTGCTATCAACTTTGCTATGTGCTGAGGTAGATAAGGGTGTTAGATTTGCTATGTGCGGAGGTAGATCAGGGTGTTAGATTTGCTATGTGTTGAGGTAGATCAGGGTGTTCAACAACACATTTTAGGCATCAATTGGGATAACTCATAAAATATATGATAATAAGGATGGATATAACAATAACTGAATTGAAAGACTCAAAATCACATCCAATTACCTCGGTGAGACCGTCCCCATTTTCATAAGAAATGTTTTCCAGGGAAGATAAATTCTTTTCTTTTTTAGACATCCTACGGCAAGATACGATTGAAACTGATGAATAAATGAGTTATAAATGATGATCTGCAATTTGAATTACTAAAAGATATACTAAAAGATACATTTTACATACTCCCAAACAACCTAGTTAAACTCTTGAACCTGAAGATGTTAATTAAGTGCAAGAGCAGGACGAGTTAAGTGCTGAGACGTACCATCCTTATTCCTTGGGGAGTGGCGTGGGGACACATAACATAATTTCAAGTTTGCAATACCAATCAGTACACTCCAATAAAACTCACAATTTTGAATTATTCACGATCTACGATTTGATGTCAATGAACAAAATAACAATACAACAATACCAATTTAATACCATCAATCTCAATCTGAGTTGCTGAATAATAGCACAGTGGTTATCTACATTATAAAGCAATAACAAATCAGTTCTAAATTTAACACTATAAAACAGTATTTTAGGAAATTTACTCCAAACTTATCATCATAACACTATGATGATATCATAATACAGTGTTTAAGATTTAACAATTTGAAAATAATTTACTAACGCAAAAATCTGCGCTTCCTGAAGAAGTAGGAAAGAAATACTCGATTATACAATTATATAAATTGTATAAGTTTTAATTAGATATGCTACCAATAAAATGGTGACTTTAAGTCGGTACGAGCCAATTCAAGTTGTTTATGAGGTACTGTAAAAGCAGCTGCTCGACTAGATTTTATACTTCAGTAATCCTTACAAACCGAGAATTGGAAATTAGATTGTTGATACACGAATTTTTCTAATACCGTTCTAAAATCAAACATAAACATTAGCTCTTTTTTGAAAATATTCGCCCTCTTGATCTGAGTGGGTCGATCTGTCGATCAAGAGTGAAGATTTCTAATATACTGAGGACGAAATGAGAGTATATTTATTTATTATATGTACTTATTGTACATGTACATTGTACATGTACCTGGTATATTTTGTTGTATAGTGGAGACTTTCATTTCGTCCTCAATAAAAATTAACTGACAATAATGTTAATACGGTGAATACGATAATAAATCAAACTATTATAAATCACACTAAAAATTGTTTTAGAAAAAAGTTATTTCAAATCAAAAAAAAATTATTGTTACAAAAGACTAAAAATTCAGCTGTCGTTTAAAACTCTGAAAATTAATTTAATCGACGATTGAATCAACAGATCGTTATTTTAAAATCAAACTATGAAATAATAAAAACTAACGATAAACAAACGCACACCAGTATAATCAATGTATCTGTAACTACAAAAATAATTCGAACAGTTCTCTCACAGTTCTGACTAGGCAAACATATAATTCTCACAATCAAAGTTAAGAGTGTGCCACCAGAAGCTGATGAGGTTGGTGGGCCAGAAGGTCCAGTTGATGCCCTTAGAGTTTCTGTACCAGCCTGTACAGAATTTGTCCCCTTCAAATACCTTGTTTTTCATCTCGTTTGCTGACCAATCTTGGTAGGAATCCATGGAACTTTCCTTTAGACACACACTTGCGGCTTTCCTGAGCAACAGTTCTTCAATCCCACATCTTATGTAGTTTATTTGACACTCCCCAATGAATATAACAGAGTTGTGGCCCAGCACAATGCCAGGACCGCCCATCATGAAGTAGTTTGGACAGAGATGGTGTGTCATTCCGTAAAATGCTCTTGGTGCATCAGAGTGGTCATCAGCAAGACTTTTTCCATCTACACCAGAAACTTCAAATGCATTAACACTCCCCAGCAAGTCAAAACCTGTGGCGTAGATGATCACGTCCAAGTCATGGGCTTTTTCGTCCATTGTTACAATTCCTCTTTTGTTAATCCCTTTGATTTTGTCAGTGACAAGATGCACATTTTCTTTGTTGAAAGCTTCTAGATACGAGTCAGAGGGTGTTATTCTTTTACATCCCATTGGAAAGTCAGGGGTCAGTTTCTTAGCGACATCAGGGTCTTTCACAGTGTTCTTTATATAGGTTCGCACTGAATGGTGGATGTAACTCTGCAGCTTTCCATGCAGCCACCCAATTATTGGCATATCTTTAGATGGTAACATGAGTAGCATGAAAAACCTTGACTCGTAAGTACAAAAGATTTTCCATCTGTAAAGTCTCTGCAGTCCAGGGATGTGTTTAAAGAGAAACTTTGCTGAATCCGAGTATTTAAAATTTAACCTAGGGCCAACCCATGAAGCAGTTCTCTGGAATACTGTGAGGTTTTCCACACCCATATCCGCAATCCTGGGAATAGCTTGAACTCCTGATGCTCCTGTACCAATTATACCAATCTTTTTACCAGCTAGACTTACATCATTCCTCCACTGGTTAGTATGAAAAGCGATTCCTTCAAAAAGCTCAGCTCCTGGAATCTTGGGAGTGTTCAATTTGTGTAAGAGTCCTGTACCAGCAATGATAGCATCAAACTGTAATACTCTTCCAGAACTCAATGTAACGACCCACTTTGACAGATTGTCTTTCCAAATGGTTTTAACAACAGCCTGTACCAAATGTTATCTTAGGTCGGATTGGTTCTGCTAGCTTGTTGACATATTCCAAGATTTCAGGCCCTTCACTGAAGCTCTCTGACCACATTGGGTTGAGAAATTGTGAATAGCTGTATAAATGTGACTGTACATCGCACCCAACACCAGGGTAAATGTTGTCATACCAAGTTCCTCCAACATCATCATTCTTCTCAAATATATCGTAACTGTAGTGTTAAAGTAATTAAAGTCTGAAAAGCACCAGAATTTAAAGACATGTCAATTGCTCAAAAAGCATTAGGGATCATTCACATATTAAATAAGCCAACCTGGTGTCAAGGGTTAAGAAAAGCTTACACTATGAGTAAAGTGGCTTATGGAAATAGTAGGGCCTGAAATGTGGGATCAAAATGTATGAATGATCCCATACAGTACATTTCATTTCTGAAACCGCTAAGTTAAGTTGCTATTTTGGTGCACATAAAAGATAACTATCAGTATGGCTGCAGTATGGCTTTAAATGTAATTTTTGTTTTATTGAAAGAAAAACTCACTCTATTCCCATATCGTTAAGAGTATATCCTACTCCAATTCCACTTAAGCCAGCTCCAATGACACACACTTTGAATTTACGATCTTCAGCAGCCTATGATATGGATTCATTTGCTAAATATCTAATTCCATCTTTATCCAGGATAATAGCTGGATGATCATAATGAAAATTTCAATCGTGTCTTGCTATACTATGTGGTTTGATAATCTGATAAAATTCTTTACTAACCTGTTTCACTGCTCTCTTCCTATTTTCTGCTTTCATCTTTCTGCACAAGTGTAAGAATACAACTAGCACAACCCCATATAACAAAGTGCTGAGAAATTCCATCCTGGGGTCTACGATGGGTTTTTTAACTACCAGGGACACTACAATCTAATACGATAAAATGTATTCTAATCTTAGGGGACCTTGGCCTTCTTCGTTGATGAAGTTAAGGGACAAATGAGCAGAATAGGCACCATTTTCATCATTTTTAGGGGTCAAAATCAAAAAATCAATAATGATACCATACTCCATTGAGCTGAAATGTCAGGTTATTGTTTATTATAACCTGTTAGACAATTATTAGCAAGTTCTATTGTCTATATACTAATGTTCTAAATATCAGATAGTGTAAACACAAATCTTTCTCAAAAAAAGAATCATGGGAGTTGTGTTCCATACCTCACTAGCAGTATAACTATGGTTAACACAGCCGCTTTTTAAGTCCTGATTTAAGTTGCCGTCTTAATTTGTTTCCGTCCTAATTTGTTTCACTAAATTTGTTTCACTGTATTGATAATAGCACACAGATAAGCGAAGTTTCTGACCTGTTGTACTTAACTGTGAGACCTTCCACGTTCATGTCCACGGTGTTGTCTGTAGAATACGGCCTGTGCGATGCACTTTTACTGACAGCCATGCTCTGTGTTTCACCCGCATGGGCACTTAGTTCAAGTTAAACTTCGTTTAACTTGATACCTGTCACCATGGACTATGAATGTTTCTAGACACTATCCTTTTGATATTGAGATATTGGTATCTCAGATCACGTGTACATCGTTCCTTTTCTATGACACAGTAATTTATTGACACTCACAGCTATAATTTTAATCATTGAATCAGTATTTTTATCTGTGCTCTGCGTAATGCATCACATGAATCAGTTTTTAATCTATTAACTTATTACACATTTGTGCTCTGCTTTAGCATCACTTGACTATTTAAAAAAATTGTTTGTTCAGGACATGACCTTATAGTCAGCCAATTGGCCATTGCTAAAATTGAATGTAATTTATTCAATATTTTATTATCTACACTATATTAGCATAGAAAGTCAGTGGTTTCCTGCAACCCAACCTAAGAGTTGTCTAATATTTCCATGATATCAGCGTAGTCAGTAGTAAAGTCATGTTTCTCTTCTAACCCAGGAGATGCAAGCTGTAATAAAGCCCCCTTACTTATAGCCTTGTCCAGTTCCATAAAGTAGGCAAAGAAATTGAAACAAAATTTGAAGACCGGAGGACCCTACGTATCACCTTGTCCAGTAGCCGAGTTGACATCAAACCAATCCGTTGATGCATTTCATTGAATCAAAAGCAGCTAATAAATCTACGAAATTGGTATACAGAGGAATATTATTTTCAATACATTGATGCATTATACGATGGAGTGAATACATTTTTCTATATAGTAGGAGCTGTTACGGGGATTTTCGGCTCGATACACCAGGGTCATCAGACATGTCTTAAAAGACGCATTTTTGGCCCTTGAATCGATTGGTGATAGTGGGAAGTGTTGAAAATGGGGTTAACCTGGTTTTATTGAAAAAAAACCGATTTTTGGCCCTAAAAATGGTCATTTTTTGAGGTTTTTCAGGATTATCGATAGGTTAATTTCAAGGAAAAGCTTAGATATTTCGGTTTCTGATACATTTCAATATGCCGCATTAGCTAATATTAAGTTTATAAGCGCACATAAGAGTTAACCTGGTCAAAATTTAAAAAAACCTTCCAAAAAAAATGTTTTTTTGCGCGCAAATTTTTTTTGGCTCTTTATACATCCACAATGAAATATTTTTGCCCAATAAGTGTTAAAATACTGTCCAATAATACTATTTGATAGTTTTGTAATGCAAAAATAGTTTTAAGAGCGAAAGAAAAAATATATATATTTCGCGGATCTGAGCACTTTGAAAATTTATGAAAGAAATCGAGCGCTACTGTAAAATTTTCATTAATACTTACCTGAACGTCATATCAGTTTTTGTACGGTTAGTGAATTGTTCCTTTCTCAAGTTCTTGTCTTCTCTGGTTTAATGTCGTTTAATTGGATATAATATTGATTAATACAGTACAGTTGAGTGTTGTATATTAGTAGAGTGCCATTTCTATATATGACAAAATACGCGTACACTCATATCATTAGTAGAGGCTCTTACGGGCATTGTCTGCATGATACGCTAGGGACCCCAGATACACCTTACTTTGTAGCGCGATGCGTTACTGTGCCGCGCCGCGCACTTAATAAGGCTTCTCACAGCGATCGGCGAGATGCGCTACTGTGCCGCGCCGAGCTGCCATGAATTGACATCGTCAATTAACACCTTACTAGACGTATTTTTGACCGTAGAATCGATTAAAAGTGGTTTCAAGATGATTGGACTGAGTTAGCGCGGTCAAAATCGTAAAAAACCGATTTTTGGGCCAAAAAAAAGGCCAAAAAACCATGTTTTTTGATATTTTGAGCAAGTTAATTTTGTTGGCATGTCGGTAAAATTTGCACAAATATAGCTAAAAGACAGCCGCACAAGATGGTATAAAAATAAAACAAATCCCTCTATCTTATGTTTTAGCACAGGTAAAAATCCAAAAAAGTGGTAAAAATTTTGACTTTTTTGCTTGAAGTTTGAATAATTTTTTGCAGTTGTATTAAATCAACCCAAAAATAGTCACATCGTGTTTGCCTAAATTTTTCCTTTCTGAGAAGTACCCACTTCATATACTTTATCGAAGTTTGAATATTGTCACTCCGCAAGCGTTTTTGCCAAATTTTAGACGCGCACTACGCGCAAAAGCATTTAGTTGTTATCAATTGGCACCCGCGCGTTCATCATAAATTTCAAACAGCTATAACTCAGCGAGATTATTTCCGTTCTAGCTCATATTTTCACACCAAATAGAAAATAATGTGATCTTATTGCTGACAAAATATGAATATGATTACTCTATTTGCCTTAGAGTAATAGACTGTCAAAGTTTAAAACGCGCATTGGTATAGCACGTGACTAATAAAGCCAAATTTATACTTCTTAACATATTATCGATCCTTAGACATCATACTATTGTGTCTAATTAGCGGTTAGGTCTCTAAACTCGTAGCAGAATACACGTATTTTTGCCCGTAAGAGTTTCTACTAATACAGCGATTCTGTTAAAAACCGCCTTGGTTCTCCCGAAGAAATTTCTCCATGCCATTATTACTTAGTCTTCGCAGTTGGAGAACGCTATGTCGATATCGTTGTAGAGCTACGATATGAAAGTTCACCTAACCATGTGCTTTCGCAACACTGCAGGCGCGCTTGTTTGAGGCGGGCGCGCGCTACTGCAAGCGTAAGGGCTCTGGATAGAGCAAATATGAAAGGGTTGGCAACGTCATGCAATCAATCTTCACGGGAGAATCATTAATTGTAAAAGCATTGTAGACCTCAATGTTATACCTTAAATTGTAAATAATACAAACATAATTAGATTGTGGGAGTTTTGCACGTTTCAAGTATAAAGTATGAAGTTTGCGTGCATAAAATGTATCAATAATGGTGATTTTAGGATTGAAATGTTCATAACTTTTATGTCAATTGTATTAACATTATCGTAATTGGCTCGCCGTCTATAAAAGCTTTTAGTCCTAAATTTATAATATTTGAAGTTCAAAGTTTTTTTAAATTCCAAAATTCATATAATTCATATATTCTTTTGATACATCACATGTGATGCAAATGCTTATAAACAATAAATTACATCCTAAGCTTATTTTTTATTTTTTGTATGACGTTGTATGACCCGCCGCGCACGAGTGCGCGGCTCCCCCTGTATCGTTGAAACTCTACAGGGTGAAACGATAGTGGGGGTCACGACGTGATACAATGCGTGACCGGTGACGTGCTAATTGTTTCAAAAGTCACGAGTAGAATAAACTTCTTGTGTCACCTTGTCATTGTCATACGTTGTATGACCCGCCGCGCACGAGTGCGCGGCTCCCCTGTATCGTTTAAACTCTACAGTGAAGCGACAGTGGGGGTCATCACGTGATACAAAGAAAAGTGAGCCATAAGCCAGCAAATCAATCATGATTTGGTAAATATTCATTACAACTCGAAGCAGTGTCTGCTTTCGCTTAATTGGTCGTCCAAACTCAATTAATTTTTGTGAAAAGGCTCTGAGGGTTATTGGTTTTGCATTATGCTCATGTAAGTTTTTAACCGAACCTACCAAGACGCGCGCAGGTTTGGACTCATCAACTGTTTAATATTTTATGGTCTAATATTTCGTCGGTCTAATATTTGGAACAAGTATTTTACTAGTAATAGTATCATCGGCTGTTAATATATACATAAGTTTATATATTAGTTTACCTGGGGACCTCAGGCTATCATGTTTAATGATTCGGCGGAATGACAGGCTGAGTGCGGCTCAGTAAATATTAATATATAATGGGTTATGCAATGTAAATTTTCTGAGCCGCGCATCAAACAATTCTTCACGTTCTGCGTTTGTAGCACACAGCAGTTCTAAAAAGATTGGCATCGTATGAAAGTAACATAATTTTTGATTTGATTTATTTTGTACGCTGATTATGAATTACCCAAATGACATCAAATAAAAATGCTTCATTTAATTCATTTTAATTCAATCAACAGTTAGTAATGTTTCATTCTATTGATAATAAAAATGGGCTCAGTGTGTTGACCGAGAAAACAACAAATTGTTGACCATACTCTTCTGATTTGGAACTGTTTAAAACAACAACATAGAATCAAATTTCAACACCTTTCCTGCACCCATGCTTAGTCAATATGTTCAATCTTACTGATAGTCGAAAGTTTTGAATTGCTCTGGTTGATCCTAGACTGATTTTCGAGAATTTGAAAGAAATCTTTCTCATCGGTCGTCAAATTTCTTCAGCAGCATAGTTGATGTACACCCATGTGTGAATTAAGGGGGGGGGGGGGGGGTGTCACGTCCGTCTATGTCCGCTTGTCTCATAGAATCCAAAAAGGACAGGACATAGGCGGACATAGACGGACATAGGCGGACATAGGCGGACATAGGCGGACATAGGCGGACATTAATGGACACCTAAATTGCTAAATAAAATGTTCAATTTTTGCTGTTATAGGGGGGATCATGTTTTTTGTCCGTTCGGTACCCTGTATTTTCAAAACGGACAAAAAATAGAGCGGACAAAAACGGAAAAAAATGGACAAAAATGGAAATAACATTTAGATGCTTCCTCCTCCTACTCTTCCTCCTCCTCCCCCTGGGTCTTCCTGATCTTCCTCAGTCCTCTTCCTCCTCCCCTCCTCAGTCCTCCTCCTACTCCTCCTCCTCGTCCTCAGTCCTCCTCATCAGTCCTCAACAGTCCTCCTCCTCCCCAGTCCTCCTCCTCCTCCTGAGTCCTCCTCCTGGGTCCTCCTCCTCCTCTTCATCCTCCTCCTCTTCCTCCTCAGTTCTCCTCAGTCCTCCTCATCCTTCTCCTCAGTCCTCCATCCTCCTCCTCAGTCCTCCCCCAGTCCCCCTCCTCCTCCTCCTATTCAGTCCTCCTCCTCCTCCTCCTTCTCAGTCCTCCTCAGTCCTCCTCCTCAGTCCTCCTCCTCCTGGGTCCTCCTCCTCCTCTTCATCCTCCTCCTCTTCCTCCTCGGTCCTCAGTCCTCCTCCTCCTGGGTCCTCCTCCTCATCCTTCTCATCAGTCCTCTTCCTCCCCAGTCCTCTCCCAGTCCCCCTCCTTCTCCTCCTCCTATTCAGTCCTCCTCCTCCTCCTCCTCAGTTCTCCTCAGTCCTCCTTCTCATTTCTCCTAAGTCCTCCTCCTGAGTCCTCCTCCTCTTCCTTCTGAGTCCTCCTCCTGAGTCCTCCTCCTCCTCCCTCTCAGTCATCCTCCTCAGTCATCCTCCTCAGCCATCCCCCCAGCCATCCTCCTCAGCCATCCTCCTCAGTACTCCTCAGTCCTCCTCCTTCTCAGTCATCGTCAGTCCTCCTCCTCAGTCCTCCTCAGTCCTCCTCCTCCTCCTGGGTCCTCCTGGGTCTTCCTGATCCTCCCCAGTCCTCTTCCTCCTTCCCTCCTCAGTCCTCCTCCTACTCTTCCTCCTCGTCCTCAGTCCTCCTCGTCAGTCCTCAACAGTTCTCCTCCTCCCCAGTCCTCCTCCACCTCCTGGGGCCTTTTCCTGGGTCCTCCTCCTGGGTCCTCCTCCTCCTGGGTCCTCCTCCTCCTGGGTCCTCTTCCTCCTCTTCCTCCTCCTCCTCCCTCTCAGTCATCCTCCTCAGCCATCCTCCTCAGCCATCCTGAGTACTCCTCAGTCCTCCTCCTTCTCAGTCCTCCTCAGTCCTCCTCCTGAGTCCTCCTCCTCCTGAGTCATCCTCCTCAGTTCTCCTCCTCCTCCTCCTAGGTCCTCCTTCTGGGTCCTCCTCCTCCTCCTCCTCCTCCTGGGTCTTTCTGATCCTTCTCCTCCCTCTCAGTCATCCTCCTCAGTCATCCTCCTCAGTCATCCTCCTCAGCCATCCTCATCAGCCATCCTTCTCAGCCATCCTCCTCAGTACTCTTCAGTACTCTTCAGTACTCTTCAGTCCTCAAAATGTTTGTCCACTAATGTCCACCAATGTCCGTTAATGTCCACCAATGTCCATCCAAGTCCGCCAATGTCCGTCCGGGTCCGCCAATGTCCGTCCGAGTCCGCCAATGTCCGTCCGAGTCCGCCAATGTCCGTCTGCCAATGTCCCAAAAAACACGTCCGTTGTCTCCTCAGTCCTCCTCCTCAGTCCTCCTCCTCCTGGGTCCTCCTCCTCCTCTTCATCCTCCTCCTCTTCCTCCTCGGTCCTCAGTCCTCCTCCTCCTGGGTCCTCCTCCTCATCCTTCTCATCAGTCCTCCTCCTCCCCAGTCCTCTCCCAGTCCTTCTCCTTCTCCTCCTCCTATTCAGTCCTCCTCCTCCTCCTCCTCAGTTCTCCTCAGCCCTCCTTCTCATTTCTCCTAAGTCCTCTTCCTGAGTCCTCCTCCTCTTCCTCCTGAGTCCTCCTCCTCTTCCTTCTGAGTCCTCCTCCTGAGTCCTCCTCCTCCTTCCTCTCAGTCATCCTCCTCAGCCATCCTCCCCAGCCATCCTCCCCAGCCATCCTCCTCAGCCATCCTCCTCAGTACTCCTCAGTCCTCCTCCTTCTCAGTCATCGTCAGTCCTCCTCCTCAGTCCTCCTCAGTCCTCCTCCTCCTCCTGGGTCCTCCTCCTCCTCCTCCTCCTGGGTCCTCCTGGGTCTTCCTGATCCTCCCCAGTCCTCTTCCTCCTCCCCTCCTCAGTCCTCCTCCTACTCTTCCTCCTCGTCCTCAGTCATCCTCATCAATCCTCAACAGTTCTCCTCCTCCCCAGTCCTCCTCCACCTCCTGGGGCCTTTTCCTGGGTCCTCCTCCTGAGTCCTCCTCCTCCTGGGTCTTCCTCCTCCTGGGTCCTCCTTCTCCTCCTCAGTCCTTCTCCTCCTCCTCCTCAGTCCTCTTCCTCCTCTTCCTCCTCTTCCTCCTCTTCCTCCTCCTCCTCCCTCTCAGTCATCCTCCTCAGCCATCCTCCTCAGCCATCCTCCTCAGTCCTCCTCCTTCTCAGTCCTCCTCCTGAGTCCTCCTCCTCCTGAGTCATCCTCCTCAGTTCTCCTCCTCCTCCTAGGTCCTCCTTCTGGGTCCTCCTCCTCCTCCTGGGTCTTTCTGATCCTTCTCCTCCCTCTCAGTCATCCTCCTCAGTCATCCTCCTCAGTCATCCTCCTCAGCCATCCTCCTCAGCCATCCTTCTCAGCCATCCTCCTCAGTACTCTTCAGTACTCTTCAGTACTCTTCAGTCCTCAAAATGTTTGTCCGCTAATGTCCACCAATGTCCGCTAATGTCCACCAATGTCCATCCAAGTCCGCCAATGTCCGTCCGGGTCCGCCAATGTCCGTCCGAGTCCGCCAATGTCCGTCCGAGCCCGCCAATGTCCGTCCGAGTCCGCCAATGTCCGTCCGTGTCCGCCAATGTCCCAAAAAACACGTCCGTTGTCTCATAGAATCCAAAAAGGACAGGACATAGGCGGACATAGACGGACATGACACCCCCCCCATTAAGTTTAAGTACTTTTATTCTATTAAGTTCTAGAGTTTTTTCACAGGGAATATGACATTCACTCTGTCATGTTGTTTTGTTCCCAGTTTATTATGGGGTTTGTAAGTTCTACGTGATAAATTATATTTATAATTAGTCTTTAGTAGAAAGTTATCCATAGATTAGGTAAGGTACTGACTTTAAAAATATAACCCAATAACTTACTCCATATGAGTCCTATCTCCAACAGCCCATTGCAGGGAGGCTAATAAAGTGTCATATCACAGAATGTTTTGTAAACATTCAATTTAACTACATATTGCCGCTCAGATATGGGCACTGTATTGTGTAAATTATTTAGTTATTGCTTATATTAGGACGCAACGAAACTACCGGACCACGATGTATGGGGATTTGCTACCCCATGGCAACATTAAAATATATCGACTCTGTTACATCGTTTCCTCAAATTATTTGTTATATAGTAGTGTCGAAAGTATTAAAACATCTTTGCTGCACAGGAGCGCAACCGGGGTAGTAAATACTGTGTTTTGTATCGCAATTTTTAACAAAAGTATAGTTAAGGTTTTGTTAGTTTTACCCTAAATTAATACTCCGTTTTTAGAACTGAAGATGATAGGATATCGTTATCCAATACAAGGTTTACAACCCTTCACAAAGACGTTCGGACAGCCGTTACATGAACCAGATGTAGAGGAATACAGCTCAAAAGAGCCTCCACCTCCTCAGCAGAATCATGATACTATTGTTGATGCAAAATTTGCTGCATCTCAGATTGAAAAATCAATGAGATTTTCTTATGATTCTGATGATTCAGATGCTTCTGGTCATTTAGAGGAAACTTCAGAACAGCATCCACCACTGGAAGATAATGTTGAATTTCTTGCCAATCATTCTGATATTTTATCATCAGATGCTCCAATTGATACCATCAACACTTTGAAAGCACTTAAATATCATATTGAAACCTCAGAAAATAGATGTTTTACCAACCTTGAAAGACAATTACTGGCTACCATAGTACAACATGGTATTTTCAATGCCAATAAGGAGGAACCTGAACCTAATTCGAATGAACAAGTTGAATCAGAGGAGAAAGTTCAGCAAAGCGAAGTTCAGCAAATGGATGTGCAACCAAAGGAGACTCAAATAAGTCAAGTACTTCATGAAAGTACCTCATCAATCAGAAATAATCAAAATGAGCTGGAAGTTAATACTGATATTCAGTCTGCTCATTCTTCTATAACTCAAGTACCGCCGAACCTAGAGGAGAACCATATTCGGGAGAATATGACTCCCTCTGATACTCAGTCAGTTTCTCGGAAAGCATTGTTACCAACTCCTGGTTCATATGATGAAGTAAGTCATGTCATTATGTCAGAGAATACAGGGGCAATGAATTTCAGTAAACCAACATTGCCAATTACAGAACAGAAAAAGTTGAGTAAAACTGTTAAATCCTTAAAAATATCTGATAAATTGGCTAGAATACAAAATTCGTATCATCCTGATGATGAGCCAACATTGCAGCTTCTTGAATCAATGGCCAATAAGAATGAAGAGGAATCGGGTTATGATGACTTATTAAAGTCATATTCTAAAACAAAATCTCAACTCGAAGTAGAAAAAGAGCCAAAGTATAAATCTAAAACAAAGATTTTACCTCCTTCAGCAGAATTCCTGAAACGTCAAGAAAAGCATAATGCATCCAGACACGAAAGATATGAAAAAATGCAGTATGATTCTCAGAGTCACAGTTCCAATAGAAGAGTTGTTAGAAGAGAAGATTATGAAAGAGAAAAAAGGAGTAAAGACCAGGATCGTGAACCCAGTAGGCGCAGAGTAAAGCTGAATTACAAAGAAGATACACCAGATCATAATCTGCAGATTCCAAAAAGTCAATCATCATATCTGGATATGGAAAGGAGAGGAAAAAGAAATTCTAAAAATAATTCTAAAAACAATTCGAAAAGCAATTCTCCTGAAACAGAAGTGGCAGTCGAGAAAAATATTAATGCAAGTACAGAAGAAAAAGCAGTAGATCTTCTTGCTAATCTTATTACTCAAAAGTTTCTTAGTACAATGACTGAAGTGGAAGAACTTCCTGGGAGTAAAGGACAAGACATGGAGCCTACTGCTCCACAGACTGTAGCTCAGCCTGTATCCACTCTTCCAAGTAATTTTCCGGCCCCTCCATTCATTCATGGTCATGGTCCTCCTTTTTTCCCTCCCCCTCTGCCTATGATGGCAACTAATGTGCCTATCGTGTCAGCTCCTCTACCAATAGTCACAGGTCCTATGATGGTTCACCCTGGCCCTGTGAAGAGGTCAAATTTGATAACAATCAATTTAGATACTAGTCCAAAGAAAACTAAGAAAAATGTTGTTCTAAAGGATGCACTGACAGATTCTTCAGCAATTGTGCTCACACAAGTTATTGATCTAGATGTTGAAGAAGGAGAAATAAGCTGATTGTTTTTTCATATGTATTTGTGTTACTTAAAATGTTTCTACATAAATTTTTAAATTTGAAATATAATGTTTCAAAGAAAGAATGCAAAATTATCTTTATAGATAAATTTCTACCTAGGAGAATATTCTAACGACTTTGCATTCCGTTTTTATCAACAGTTTTTTAATTTTGTTATTTTGCAATCATAAAAATCGGTTGTTACACTATTCTACAACATAGTTTAATGGTTTCTAAATATGTACTGAAATTATTGATAATATTGATCTGTTTATGTCACAAATTAACATTGTCATGCACTGCTGAATACTATCAAGGCAATTTATTGAAATTGATGAAAAAACGTAATTTTTGGTATGCAATTAAAAGACAGAGTTTAGCTAACATCAAAACCCTAGCAATGTTAACTTCGTTCCGATTCTGATTGTCAGCTGAGTTTCAAAATAAGGTACTTGCTTTTAAAAACTAAATTTTAATGCTTGAAATGATCTTGAAATGACATTTAATTATATTTGATGAATTATTTACATTTGTGCAGTGAATATCATAGCTGACGTTACATAATTTTTCAGGGCACCAGTGGACGGAGTTTCGATCACCGTTCACTAAATATTGAACTGTGAATTGTCATTTAGATTTAGATAGTTAGTTAAAACTTGTTTGTTGCTTTTGTTTGTCACCTCATAATGGATCAACCAAATTTGCCGTATTCGGAGCCCTCCAAAACATTTGGAATAGGGCCGCCTCCACCCGACATTGTGAATCCGCTCGATCGTTTAGCGAGACGACCTGCACGACTTGCTCCCCCAAAAATCACGCCACCATTTCCACTCCCATTTTCTACAACACCTCATTTGTCAGCCGCACACGACACTATGTCTATTAATTTTGCGCCTCCTTCCCGTTCCAAAATAAACTCTCATAACTCTAGTACTAGTCCTCAATCTGATAAGCACATGAAAGATTCCAATGAGTCCAGCCTTATGAATGAGCAAGGTGAGTAACTTAGCCTAATATACTATACATGGTGCTTGATGTAGTCTACACCTTACTCTACATTTTAAATGTTAGTTCTCAGTATTTCTTATGAGTTATCTTTCGATTTCTGAAACTGAGAACTTTTTCTATCAAGGTGTGGGCTACATATTTTTAATTAGCTGCTGAAATTAATTTCCCTCTCTATCGAGAATTGATGATCTTTTCTGAAACAGAAAACTATTTAACGGTTGCGACTGGATGTGTTTTTTTGCCATCTTCATGTCTGTTCGACTTAAAAGATCATCAATTTTAACATTTTGTAAACGGTCCATATAGTGGATCACACATTGTAAGAACTGCAAATTCTTTACATGTGCCGCTTACATGTTTTGCTCGTTTTAGATATAGCTACTCTGATTTTGCCATACAAATTGTAATATAATTTCGATGTAACGGAGCAAATATATTGCATTGTTTATGGTCTGTGCTCCCCAGCTTTAAACTTACTGTGCCCAATCGTGTCGGATGTTTACACAGTAGGTTTAAAAACAAAAGCTGTGGCGGGACATCTAAATTAAAAAAGAAGGCATATTATAAATTGTTATCAATGTTGTACCATACCTATAATAATCGATGCTAGTGTTCCATGTCATATTGTTGGTAGTCATGACAATGGTTGTCAATGGGGGACATCGTTAGTTCCCCATTCGTGTAATATGTTTTTAAAATTAAAGCTATTTATAGGCTTTGTTTGAAGACTTAATGAGCCTAACTAAAGTTACGTTTACCAGCGACTTTTTGGTGTGCAATTCTGGATGAAATCCTGTTTAGAATCGTTTACTCGAAAAGAATTTTAGAATACTCCCATGGATGGAAATACAATCATGGCAACTTCCCAGTGCAAGTGGCCATAGATACAGTTGCCTTGTCCGATAAAAACCAGAACATAGTAACTTGTTTCGAGCCATTGGCAATCAGTTTGAATTTAAAAACCTCTTATTTTTATTTTATTATCCGAAGCCACTCCTGAATCATGTTCTTCAAAGTTCTCCACAGTAAACGACCAGGAGAAATTCCTCTCCCGGTGCCGTCAATTCACGAGAGGCAATTTACAATTTTGGCTAGGAATTGTTAACTGAACAGTTGACTTAGAAAATCTAAATTAATGATTAATAAATTATAAATACACCGTTTGATAATGCATCACAAGCAGTATTAACTATGATTTCCTGTAATGCCCGCGCCGGGCCTGCCTTCATACGCCTCCTCACACTGGCTAGAAACACTCATAAATAAAGTTGGACAAAACTTATTCCATGTTAAGAAAATCCCCGGCTCATAGATACATTCTCCTGTCCCGTGTAAAGTAAGCCAAGAGACTCTGTTATAAAAGTGCCTCTTTAAAATCTTATTTGCAAACACTTTGTCTGCGTCTGGGCTAAATAGTTTTTAATCTCTAGAATGTGCCAATATCGTGATTACTGGAAACTGAGAGTTCAAAGATCCGGGCTATAAATATAAATGTTTTGCTTTATAGTTCGGCTTATAGTGAAACTTTGAGCGCAGATTAAAATTAAGCTGGGAATAACTTAAATTCTGTCATGGTGAGGGGGCGATGCATATTTAATATTTACATTTATTGTAAATTGAAGTCACGTGTCAAAAAGTATGCTTTAATACCTATACCCCACTTGTAGTCTAGTCGATAAGTTGGTCCCAAATTAGATATTCGATGTAATAATATTTTTGCAATATCCATATACGCGACGTGGTCTCCTTTTCTGGTTAACATACGCACTGTTTTTGCACTGATATAAAGGTGTCAAGATCAGTGACAATTCCGTCGTTTTGTTCTTTGTTTTTCATTGCACATTCTTTGTTAATAACTTATTCGTTAGTTTGTTTTCTTGACAGTTAATACCGACTTGAAATTCTAGTTACAGAATTTATCAAATATGCAATTCTTTATGGTGTTGATAGTTATAAAACGCTGGTTTTGACATCCTTCGAAACAATTTCGTTCTGACTATCATTACATTCGTTATTCAGCTGATAGAATTAGTGTGATTTATGAAAGGTTTCGATTGACCGATTTAGTAAATTTTGCGTGCAAAGAAGGACTATAGTTTTTCAAGTTTCGTCAATAATCTCTAGCATTATTAAAGTAGTCTACCGGGTGGAATTTTTTCCCGGACCCAAACCATGTCGACTATCGAGCGTAATCTGAATATATGTTGAAATGTCGTTTGTTGACTTCCGCAATCTGCATACTCGAAGTTATTGGTTATTTCGATTATTTATTGGTATTTGTTAAAATTCTTGATGTCGTTGCGATATTGATGATATATTAGACTAATAGACTTCAGTTTTAAAGCAAATATACAACTCTATTTCTATATTCTAAAGTCTATTCTGAAAAAGAATTAATTTCGAAACAGTTATCAAATGAGGCTCAAAAGACGCACGGCTTCAGCAGCCCATTAAACAATTTTGTTGATAGATCTTTGCTTCGTTCTTATTACATTTTGCTCGCAGTATTAAACTTATTGCACGTTTGTGATATCGATGAATTTTATTACATATTCGTAACATTGTCAGCAGTTAACCTTCTATACAGCTTATATTGCCAAATCTTCTTGCAATCGAAAACTGTGCTCAGAAATCATATCTACTCATCAAACCTGATAATGAATACTCCTGGCTGATAATTTTTAAAATTCAAGTACAATTACTGTGCGCTCAATACAGCAATTGTATAATTGTATAATCGTTGCTCATTTCTATTCAACGAATTTCGCTGATACGTGTAATATAAATGTTGCCGTGTTGCTTGCGCTTGTATTGAAGATTGCCCTAGTTTTGCAAAACTTATTTACTCCATGAAATTTGTTGTTTCTGCACCACCAAGATTAAAAATAGCTCTTCACAAAAATTATTCGAAAATCAGTGTGACAAATGTCATGGAGTAGAATTAGTATCGAGCCGAATTATGTTCTCTAGAACAAAATTTGACGACTAAATTATCTGTGTCAACGATCGACCGAGACAAAGATTTTATATTTTGGAACACTTCAAGGCTTAAACAGTACTTTTTAAAGTATAGTAGTAGAAGACTCTTGAACCTAACCCCCTTTTGTGCTAAATAGATTAGCAAAACTAAGATTTCCTTTATCCCTTAATCCGTACGAGAATAGTTTTTGACGATAGTTTTACGATCGTCTAAGACCCACTAGGGAAATAATCATGGTTGGTCCTTGTTGATAATTTCTTAGCCGTGTAGAAGTTAGTTTTAACCTCGGCTTGTTGACGTTGTGAAATCCAAGGTCCATAATTCAGTAAGCTATGTTCATTTTGTGGAACACTGTAAAACATCGTTACTTATATTTTTTTATACCAAGCTTCATAAAATTTGCCGCGGAATTCTTGTATCGATTCAAAAATGGTACTTGCATCAACTTATTTCTGAAAATGTTGCATTTGATACCAATTCATACTCGACTATATCATGCATAGGGAATGTAAGGAATAAAGTGTTGCCGCAAAATAAAAAGTACGTGGTTTAGTTGCTCCAGAAGAAGATGTTTTACAGTAATTTAGTTCGTAGACTATATTATGCAAGTCTAACTTAGAATAGACCTTTTTAAACTCTGCATTAAATTGTATTACGCCCTTAAATGTCAAAGATTTCTGGATATTTTGGTAGTGAAAACGAGTCTTACATCTTTCTCAGTATACAAACAAAAAATTTGGCCGGCGGTCAAGAAATCTTTGATGTTTATCCAGATTCCTAAGGCTCGATGCCAAGTCATTAAATGCATTAAACTTTGCAATCAACCCTCTGGCCTTGAATACATCTTGATTTTATAGTAGTTAAGATCTGAACAAGTCTAACTATTGGAATATTCCACGATAAGATTTACTAATTTTACGAGTTTATAACGTCGAATCCTCCTAGTATTCGAACTTTAACAATTTGTCTTTGGACCTTGGATATTTGAAGTCTCATCTTAAGTTTTGATTGTCGTAGATAACATATGGTTGTATGGGGAGGAAAAAGGAAGACACAAATTTAAAGTGTAAGTACCACGTCAAGTACAGTCTTATTTTTCTCCCATTACTAATTTCCGTTTCGTTATTTGTATTTCCCATATTATTTTCTAGGGAGAGTTCTAGGGAGAGTTTTTTGTAAAACTAATTTTTTTCAAAACTTTGATGTTAAGCCAAACAAAGGTTAATCGGAAAACTAAAACACTGTTTAATAATTCTGTAAAATAAATCTGGACAAATTTTCAAATAAGAGCTCTATACTTAATACTTATCCTAGTGATGCCAAAATTGTACTAAAATCTATACATAGTTTGTACATTATGTCATGTTTATACCCTCACACGTGTTTGTTAGACAATCCTGACTATAAAATGTTCACAGAGAACGTAGTAGTAACAGACGTTATCAAGAGGGAAGATGGTGATGAAGGAGCGATTACGTCTGACGGAGAACTTCCTCCCCCTCCTCCGCCCGCCAAACTCTCTGAAGATGGCGATCATTCAGAGGAAGGCGAATGTGATAGCGAGCCTGAAGATGGCGAACTGGGAGATGTATGTGTTTTACTGGCAACCTGCTATTATGTTTTTAGTTCAATTAATGTGCATAGGGCAAAATTATTCTAAATATATATTTTATTTGGCCTAACCTTTTTCATATGTTCAGGGCCAGGGTGATCCAAAACGAAAGGAACACCGTCACACAGGTAAACACGGTTTAAAGATAAATATTAACTTGCACCTGACTGTTGACAGAAATTAAGAATGTGCAGCTCCGGATTTTAGATTTTTTAAATTGTTCTGATAGCTTGTAATTAAAAACATTGACATAACCGACGCGCACACTAATGCTGACAGTTTCTCCTCGAAAATTGAGATGTCTGTGTAGAAAGTCGTTTGTGGCTATCATTTGCGCACGCACGTTCGTGTTGTATGTTGGCTAGATGTTAAACCAGGTGGTTTCTTTTTCAGAAGGCCGAAGTAGAAGGGACGGAAGGTCGAGACATTCTCCTCGTGACAATGTCATTCCTCTAGGTTAGAATATTTTAGATGGTTTGACGATCATCCTGTGCTCAAGTTAAAGATTATTTCCCTCATGTAGCAGTACAGGGTGTTATGATTAGTTTTCGATTGGCGCGTTGAACATCTTGAATGCAATGCATGTTCAAAAGGTACTTCAATTACTACAATTTCGTTCAATTTCAGTGAAAAAGAATCCTGGTCCACCTGTTCCTCAACTGGATCCAGTGCAACGCAAATTGGAACGGATTGCCAGCAAGCAATCCTCGCCTTTCCGGGAACCTAGTTACCGTGACAGGAACTTTAGAGAAAGAGGAGGTGATAGAGGTCCTGAAAGAGGCCCAGATAGAGGTCCTGAAAGAGGCCCGGATAGAGGTCCTGAAAGAGGCCCGGATAGAGGTCCTGAAAGAGGTCCGGATAGAGGTCCTGAAAGAGGTCCGGATAGAGGTCCTGAAATGGAAGATTCTAACAGGTATGAAAAGATAGGGGGTGTGTTTATGGACTTTGACTGATCATGTGTTTGACTCACAAGCCCTGGTTTGAGTACTTCATCGACTTGTGATCATCAAAGTTAATAGATAATAAATTATTCTTATTGATTTCCCCCTCAAGGAATAACGGTTCGAGTCACGAAGAAAGATCCAATCAAAGGGCCAGGTTCCCTCCTCGAGATAACAGAAGCCTAGACAAATACAGAAGAGAAGGAAGGAGCATGAGACCCGGTGATATGCCCTCCTTGATATCCCTCCCTCCCATGCCTGTTATCTCGTCATCGTCCAAAGGAAAAGGTAACTAAGCGATAGGAAGGGTTTACTCTTTTTCCAAGATTTTTTTCTCCATAATATGTTAATAATCTAATTAAATTAATTTTGATGTTTCACTCATCTGAAAACCTCAGTTCCAGATTTTCCGCCTCTCTCCTTTGGAGCTAATGCTGGAATTCCGCCGCCAATTCCACCTCTGATTCCCCCTGTTCCTGGTGCTGCTTGGCCTCCTCCGCCAGGTCCTATGGGTCCTTTGGTAAATTAATAATTATTATTATTTTACAACATTTTCAATTTTCATTATTTATTTCTGTGTATTTGATGTAGGGGTGTGATAAAAAGAGTACCAACATCCTTTTTATTAAACCTATGCTATGATTACTCTCAATATATTCCGATAGTTTGACTCATTTTAAAATCTCAACAGCCAGGGAGACACGAGAGAGGGAAAGACGGGAAATATGACGATGTGAAAATGAAGGAGAGTTTCGATATGTATCATAAAGCATGGGAGAGTTACTATGGAATGAGTAAAGACAGACCAAAATCTTCTCGCGAAAAGCCACCACACCCTGGTGACAGGAGGTCCCGTACTCCTGAAAACAGAGATAAATTCCCAGCGCCTCCACCTGCTGGTGGAGCTCATGGTCCCCCTCCTGGAATGCCAGGTCCCTTCCCTGGCATGATGCCTGGCAGTAAGTGTGATATTAACAATAATTTACATGTTCATCGATTGTACAAACTTTTTTGTTTCTGGTTAGGTTAGCCGTGAAGAATGTTTTTGACTCAACAATCAACATACGTCGAGAAATCATCTTATATTAGTTCTTCTTCTTCAGTGATACCAGGCATGCCGCCTCACATGGCACCAAGAGCCGGATCAAAGGAGAGTGCATGGGAGCGTGGCCTTAAGGTTAGCAAGAAAATTCGAGAGGAAGTTAGACGAAATGAAAAGTCTGACGAAGAAAGTGACGACAGCCATCCTGGAAAGGTAAGGAGTTCTGCTCTTTTACATGTTAATTCATGAAATGGCGTGGTTTGTGAGTTCGTAAAATTTACCTGGAAATGTTCCTTGTGGTATTACTTTGATTTTACGATAATGCCTATTTTAAGTTTTCTCTCCTCAGTTGCAAAGCAAGATCGTTATGAAGGAAAACAGTGTCAAGTCCCGCTCTCCTAGTAATCCACCGAAAGGGAAGTCAACCCGCAGATTATCTCCTCTTAGTGATGGTGGTGCTAGCTCTAACGGACAGCACGGGCAGCACGCCCACCAGCCCTACCCTCCTCGACTTACACCAGAGAGATACCGTGGTGCATACGAGCGCAAGCCGCCCTCGCATGAGGATATGAAGAAACCAAAAGCACCACATCCTGGCGGAGATGCCGCTTGGCATGACCCGTGGATGCGGCCTAACAGTCCTAAAGATAGAAAGCGACAACATTCGCGGTCATCTAGCAGCTCAGATAGCTCCAGCAATGATTCTGACTCCCCCCAACACAAGAGACTACAAGAACTGAAAAGACATATTGATTTAGCAAATAGACGAAGAAAAGCCAAGAAAGATGCAGCCAAGCTTAAGAGACTTAAAGAGAAGCTGTCACCATCAGAATTTGAATTGCTGACCAGAAAAAGGGCGAAACGACTGTCAGATGCTGCCTCAAAGTCGAAACATGAGTCAGACAGTGATTCAGCGTCCGATGATTCTTCTTCATCCAGGTTACTGTCACTAATCACTCGATTGATATTCATATTGCATGTTGTTATAATTAGGATAATTATTAAAGTTGTAATTGTATACAATGTGGTTCATACATACCGTATATTTTCTGAAAAGATTCGAGTGTGGGCTAAACTCGAAACCTTGTTCCTAAGTTTACGTCACAACTATAGCGATCGAAACGGTTATGGTCAGACAATTACAAATCATTTCAAGCGAACAAAAATAGCATCCGAACTATTTACAACTTACAAAACACACTAGTGCGATGTTTAGAATAGACGGGATATAATACGTGGATAATAGAGGTCATGTACAATGTACATACCTCTAGGTCAAATATTGAAAATTTCGTAAGTATCGAAGTTAAGGCGCCATTTTATAATTGTTTGTGCACCGGTTGCGGGATGCATGGTAACCATTTGGCTGTTCAAAAAAAAAGTATGCAGTCCTAAAAAGCTGTTTGGCTGTACAAGTGACTGTTATTTTCCCAGTTTATATGAAGATATTTCAGCAGCAGTGCTGGTTCTATCAGTCCTGGGAATTACGCTGGAAAACTAGCTGACTCTCCAACCTCCCCTGTGTCCTCACCAGACTTCAGTTACAAAGATAAGAAGAAAACTAAAGAAGTTCTTATTCGTCAGCTTCAAAAGGTGACTGATGGTAAAATTGAAATAAAAAACCTAAATCGTCTTATATACCCTATGCAGATTGCAGCCTATAAGCTTGTTAGAGTTTTTAAACTTATTCCCATTTAGGTTGAGAAGCAACTAGAAAAGAAGAAAAAGGATGAAAAAAGGAGGCACAGCTAATGCACACTGCACGCCACCATAGATCATTTATCAAAGAAGTTAAGAACTCAAGAAATAAGGAATTACAAAGAGTTTTGCGGTCATTCTCAACCTGCCGCAATAGATAAACTCTGGAAAATGAAAATCTTTATTTTCACCTATTAAGTTTATTGTGATTTTAGCAATCATCTACGAATAATCGGATGTGAGGATGCATTTATTCTATGCATGCTGTAAACCAATCCCTTTTGATTCGAGCTATTTTAACCTTAGCTTTAATTTTATGTGCTATACATTCCTATGATTTACAAGATCATGGATTTTAAGTTATTCCTAACAAGGAAACATGAACGTAATGTTTGTTGAAGGCCGACCTAACATGAAAAAAGCCATATTCATACTGATTGAAGAATGTGATGATAGTTTCTAATACTTTTTGAGTACCCTAGAAAACTTAAAACTGTATTTTAAATCTAATTTGATTACCTAATATAAAGTGTTGTGAAATGTTTTAACTGTATCTATGAAACTCATAAGCTATGTTTCCGTTTATTCTAGACCCTGGTGACGGCTTCCAGGGTAATGTTTGCGATGCACAACTCACAGAATACTCAACAGTCAACATATTGGTATATCATGTATTTTGCTAAATTTCACTTTAAGAAATTATTTTGGATTTAAATTGGATGTGATTATCATATAATTATATTTTTATTTTATTCAAAGCCAATCGGAAACTTTTGTGCGATTTCGCTGCACTCGGCTGCAGTGGTTCACATATTTTACAGCTTAGTATGTATTTTACGCTGTATATTGTATATTACTATTAGTGGTTTATTCGTAGTAAAGTATGTGGGACAGGTTCTTCACGTTGATACTGTTTCGGGTTTTATCCTGTGTTTGATGTTTGGTCGTTTTAATGGTTTTATTCAAGTTCAGCCTCTTGTCCGCTACCCATATCTAATCTTGCTAAACTTTAAACATCAGATTCGGAGCAATGTCAGCCCAAAAGTTACAAACCCAAAAGTCTGCCGGTTCTGCCAGTTATACTAACAGCCTGACCCAATAGTGCGAATTGCCCGCCCCGGCCCCCTCCCACTTCAATGTTGCCCACTATTTTAAATTATGTCTAATTATCTTGCTAAAGTGGGGGGGGGGGGGGGGGGGGGGATCATGAGTATTTTTAAGAGTCTCAACGAAAATGGCCAAATTCTCATTCTCAAAAATTATTTTTAATTATTTTTGAGAAACGTTTCCAGGAAAGGTGAAAAAATCGTTCTCATCTCAATTGGACCACTGATATGATCATGAAGAATGATTTGGTATATCACTATTTTTGAGTGGACAATTTTTGAGAAAATGAGAAATCCATGCTAAATTTCTCAGATTCAAAAATAATTTTTGAGACATTTTCGAGTATTCCCGGCAAAAATGGTCAAATTCTCAGATTCAAAAATTCTCAAAAAATACTCATGATTAACCTCGCCCCCCCCCCCCCCCACCCCTAAAGTTAAGATATGTAGATCATGTGAGGCCTGAGTTGGTACTTAAACGTTGGGTTGGTAACTTACGGGCCTCTCTGTTGTTGAACATAGACTTAGAATTCGATAGCTATATTTTCCGATGATATCTCTGAAAAGTTTGTTTTGAGATGATTAAAATGTTTGATGTATAGGGTGCTTCATTCTTATTTATTATTATTGACAAAATTTCCGTTTTCTAAAATGTTGTTTCGTCTTACTGACTTTGTAGGAACGATTCAAGGATTACTTATACTGTACTACATGCATACGCAACGGTGTTTCGGTTTAATGTAATCAGTGATTTGATGAAAGGAATTATTCTAAATGTCGTCATTTTAACCCGAAAATTTTGGGTGATGTTGCCGTATTTTGGTGCAGTTGTAATGTGACTTTGGCGAGGTTGTCGTTTTGGGATTTGGGCTGATATGATTGGATGCCCTGTTTACTCATTACTGTGTGGGAATTGGGTGAGGTGGTCTGTCATCCATTCTGGCTAAATGATTAAACCATATCTTGTTCATGTTGACGCTTGCAGCTAATGAGAAACTCACAAGATTTAACTTCACCAGCAACATAATAGATGGTCCCGATAGTTGAAATTCGGCCCTTTTAAATTTACACCAATGACTGGTACGGTTGTTACCTGGGGATCTCAGACTTTGGTGTTCATAATCACACGATTGAAGATATGGCGGAATGACAGGCTGAGCGCCGCCCAGTAAGTACGGTTGATGATCCACAGGCAACACATCTGGGTTTAACTACATGGTCGCCTTTAAAAGGTCGCCTTTAAAAGGCCTTTTATCCGTGGTGGCACAAATAGTCAATATCCGGCTCTTCACAATAGTTTCCATTGTGATTGTTTTTTCTCAAGAGCACTAGGGGATTTTCTTCACCGCCAATTAATATTATCCCAAAGATGCTCTATTTGCGTAATTTGTCCTGAAACATCGAGGAGTGGACACTGGATAGGGATCAAAATGGGAATGATTATGGTCTCATAGTCACTACTGCTCTTGAAAAATCACGATCACAATAGACATTATTGTGGACACCCGGATGTGTTGCTTGTGAAGTTATCAACCCCCATGCTTAAAGTTGCACATGTACAAAAACAAATCATGTATTCATCAAGCATCCAATCATTTGATTTTAATAGAATTAAATACTGACAGGAAATGAACAGTACAAATGCAGGGAAATTACGAGAGTTCACATTTTGAGTACAGCTATGCCTATACTACACTTACAGCACAGCTCACAGAACCAATCAATTCACGGTCACTATAAAAGGGGTGGAGATAAACAATCAACAAGTTGACTACCGGTGGACTTTCTCAAAAACTTTACCTCTTTGTAAGTGTAAACGTAATTCATATTAATATGTGGTTAATTCAAATTGGGGTCTGGATGTGGGATCACGGGGAGACGTAATTGGTAATCTAGTCTACATTGGTCTGGCCAATATTTATATCTTATAGTTATATATTTATAATGGAATCTCGCTATTGAAAAATGGGCAAAGCGTTTTTGCTACGTCTAAATGGTGAAGAGGTACGAAATTAAAACTTAGCTCATGTTCGAAAACGACCACTTTTAGGTCTAGTCTGAGTAGACGGAGACCCACTGCCACGAGATTACCTGCACCACCGCTGAGATTAACGTATTTAAAATTACTTGTTTTCCTTGTTCTTAACGCCAAACAGATAAGAGGGCCCGGCCACGACAGATTGCTTAACAAAATTCGATAATGTAAGCATATTATTTCCGTTTTCTCCGTCAGCAGTCAAGTTAGTGTTACCTATCGCTTAACTTTAAGCCTGGCGAACAGCGCTGCTCGCAGTCGCCATTTGCCATTTAGCGTTGCTGTAATAGTGTTACCAATATGTGCTAGATGGCCGTTGTAAATTGTGAACGACGACCTTCTACTGTCACCAACTCGTAAATCAAGTCTGGCCGAAGTTAACAGAGGACCAAGGACTGGAGTTGGCTGCATCTTGGTTGCACTTCACACTTACACTTACAGTAATTATTATAACTTGTGCTTTGGTCTTAGCGATTCATCAAATAGGAGCAAATCTTGAGGTTTTTATTTTCGTTATCCATTTACAAAATTATATAAGGGGTCGTTCACATAATATTACGTAATCAATATTTTAGCAATTTTTACCCCCCTCCCCCCTTCCGTAATCAACCGTAATCAAGACCCAACCCCCCCCCCCTCCTGACAGCAATATTACGTAATCATGGCCTGACCCCCCTGACTTTTTTCCTAGAAAACACTTTTCTCTACGTTTCATGCTACCCTGATCATGCTAAACTACTTACTATTATAGCCGGATATTCGATCAATTTCTAAATTTTATCACTATCAAAGTGATAAAAAAGAAAATTTTGATTACGTAATCAACGGCCGAAACCCCCCGGCACCCCCCCCCCCCCCCCGTTATCAACCGTAAGCATTTGGAAACCCCCCTCCCCCCTCGGCTGATTACGTAATATGTGATGTGTGAACGACCCCTAAGGGGGGGGGGGGGGGGGGGGGTTTGGTCGTTGATTACGTAATCAACATTTTAATTATTTACCGATTTTCAAAATACAAATTGGACAATTTTCGTTAATTATGTAATCAAAATTTTCGTTTTTTAAACCAATTTTCGTTTAGTAAGTGCTTTGCGATTATTTCATTCATTAATCCGTTGTGATAGCTTTTAATAAATAAATGGCTTAACATGAACATGTAAGGGGGGGGGGGGGTGTCTAATCTTGATTACGTAATATAGGAGGGGGTTGGGTCTTGATAACGGGGGGGGGGGGGGGGGGGGGGGGGGGGGGAAGGGTCAAACCTTGATTACGTAATATGGGGGGGTTCGGTCTTGATTACGGTTGATTACGGAGGGAGGGGGGTGGGGGGGGGGGGGTAAAAATTGCCAAAATATTGATTACGTAATATGTGAACGGGCTCTTACTAATTCGCTCGCCCAAAAATTTCACGTGACTTTGGTTTTTATGGTTTTGCAGCCGTACAAAACGGTTTTACATAAACCCTAATCCCAACCGAATGAGATCTATTTCATACCCAAAGGGCCTTTTTACAAGAATTTTCTTAAAATTTGGGCGAGCGATTTAGTAGAAGCGATGTGAACGACCCCTAAGTAGTATACAGTATAATTAATATTACTGTATAATATTCATCTGATCGTAAATCAAGCAGTTAATCCATAATCACATTAAACACATAAGGTGTTAAACTTTGGTTGAATTAAAATATGGTATGGCTTGGGAATGGGTGTAGGAGGGGGTGGGTGACATTAAGTTTATTAGGCCTAGTAGTAGTGGTCCGGACTCTTCTGCGTGATACTCGACGGCGTGGGCATTTACAATTTACTGCATGCGCTCAGCCTCTCATTCCGCAGCGGCTTCAATAGGTGTTTATGAACACTATTATATATTAGCCTGGGGTCCCCAGGTAACGTCGGCATTATCAGCTTGCTACTCTAAAATCTAACTCTCAAGCTCGAAAACTAAAGTGTAGAGAGCTGTGCATTGGCATTGGCGTGTCAGGTAACGTGAGCAGTACAGTGGGACTAGTTTCACGTGTTTACCTGGGGACCCTTACTGGGCCGCGCTCAGCCTGTCATTCCGCCTAATCTCTACCAACATTAAAGCCTGGGGTCCTCAGGTAAGGGGACCCCAGACTATTATGTTTATAAACAACGAATAGAGATTCGGCGGAATCTCTATTCGACTATGTTGTATGTTTGGGTATGACTATAAGAATGGAGAATTAAGAATTTAATTTTTCCTCAACATAATTTTCTGCGCCCACGAATCCCACGCTGACAGGTCCCGGACCCACTTTATTGTGCGGGTTTTAGTACATAGTAGTTTATTACTTATTTTAAGTTTAACAAAATTTTAGCACTGCCAGAACCCAATTACTAATACTATATACCTTGACATGACTTAAAGTTAATAGTCGACTTTAATCGTATCTTTGAGGTAATTCTAGGGCTACTTCAAATAGTAGTAGTACTACTACTAGTACTTGTGGTCAATAACTAAATATTAATTATCCAAGGCAGAAATCCGTTCAGTCACCTAAAAGAAAACCTCCACTTTGGTTTTGATTTTAAGGTTATGGGTTATTATGAGTAAAATGGTTATGAATGTAGTTATGAACTAAGTGGTGCAACTTTGCTTAATACCGTTTTAGGTTGTAGTGCCACTGCCAGTACTAGTAGTGAGCTTCGCAAACAACGACTTTGTTGTATTATATTATTAGTATTCATATATAGTTATTCATTTATTATTATTCATTTATATTATTAATATTCATATTATAACAAAATGGGAAAATTTCTATAAAAGTATCTGTGTTCGCTATTTCTTCGAAAAACTCTCATATTTCGGTATTAGTATAACGGAGATAACGAAACACGTTAATATAATAACATTTGTCTCCGCAAATTAAATGTTAGTGACAATTTTACACTTGTTATTATATACTAAAAATGTTATCATAAAACATTGTGGAATATTTCATTTTTTAAGCCATTGGCCCACAAAGTGTCTTTGTCTTTGGGGAAGATGCCTCGCGGCAGTCTGTCTCTGTTCGTACAACAAGCTCTGGCTTTAAATTTTATGTCCCGGTGTTTTTGTAGGTAATCATCATGAAGTAGATTGCTTTTGGTGAACACTGTTGCTGATCATATTCAATGTCTGTTTAAGTTACTACAATTTAAATTTGCTGTCGGTTGCATCGGATTTTAAATGGTAGAAGTTTAGCTGATCTTCAAAGAATGAGGTCGATTTCAATCTTTCAATTAAATAATAGCTTTTGGGCTGTGGCAAAACCTAGACCAAAAGCCTGTTTGGAACGCCACTTCGTCGCCTAAATTTGTAAATGTATGCTGAAAGGCATGGCAATAAAGAAATAATCATGGCTAATAATAATGTATGGTTGATTGTTATTTCAGAATCGTATAGATATCATTTTTAATATGTTCGGGATCGTTTTCATATTACGTAAGCAGTAGCTAAATTTTGTCATTCTAGACTCCTCCCCCTCTAGTCCGTATCGGTATACAGTTAAGCCACCTGGCACAGCTATTATATTAAAATTACACTAGCATAATTCTTTCCAAACACCTTCACCCGAGCTGGTTTACAATTAGAGTATGGAACATTTAAGAAGTCGTGGTTAAGAAATTGATTAACTAATTATAGTTTGGAAATTAGAGTGAGGAAACTAAGGGCTGTTGATGATACACTTTTAAGAGATGGTTGCAGAACATGGCAGCTTTGAGATTCAAAGTGGTTGTTTTGTATCAAGAGTGAACTTGTTAGTGTTAGTAACACTGTTAGTACTTAGTGTTAGTAACACTGTTAGTACTTAGTGTTAGTAACACTGTTAGTACTTATTGTTACTCGACGTGTCTTGATACTTTCCAATACAGATGAGAGGCTGAATGATTACTGTACATGAACCAGCAGATAAACCATCGTTGGTGGAAAGCTATATCAGTGGTTAATAACCATTGTGTGTCCAACCACCGTGTTACACCTAGTCACACATGAGTCACAAATAATAGCACAGCATCATGATATTTGGAGCTGAGTGCATTAGTGCAGGTCTCAGGTGTGTACGGTGATTGTTGCGTGCTTGATGAAAATTTAGCTAGCCCGCGTGGTCAGCGTTCGAGAGATCAAATGTACTATTCGTGTGGTAATCGTGCAGGTGATAGTATTAGTTGATGTAGTTGTACGTTTCGTTCTATTATTATAATACTAGTGTTCCGTAATGCTGTGGTGGCTGATTGGTACTACTAGTGTTCTACTCTATATTCTATCTAGTCCGATGATCTTTTAGGCTTTTAGGAGTGATGAAGAGTTTTTAATGTTGTTGTCGGTTGCTGAAAATCCATTTAATTGGTGGACAACTGCCAGCATTTGATTTCAAGCGTCAGTATCTTTTCTTCAAGTTCAGTCCCTTTTGCTTTATCATTAAGGTAAACTGTGCTTTTTCGTGATTTTTATATCATTATTTTTTTCTTGACAGCTGTCAAATTCCGTCGGAATGAAATTTATATATCAATTTCATTTGTTTATCCTATCGTGTTCGCGTTTTATTACAATTTTTATTCTAGACAAATGGAATTTCACCTTATTTCGACCGCCCTTGTTCCAAATAGATGACCAACCATACACGTAACATTCTCTGAACCACTAAAAGTAGGGCTAATATATAAAACTGCTAATAATATCATGTAGTAATAATCTTGTAGTTGTACTCTTTTCGCGCTCGTTAAACTTTAAAGTGTAGCTAGAAGTGTATACATATTTTGTGTGTTCTGATTGTTGTATTGTGACACAATTTTTGTATTCTGTATCGTGATCTATAGTTGTGATCTATAGTTGTGATAAAGTTTAAATGTCAAATTGTCTTAGAATCGTTTCTAATCCTAGGCCGAATCCCAAAATTATAACCTAATTCTAACCGTCATGCGGAGAAACCTTGTTTTTAGTTATTTCAAGAGTTTTTGATTTATCATATGGCATACAGTTCAACGTCAAGATGAATTGCTCAACTTGTCCTTACACTTTGAAACAACAGTGTACACTGACCAGATAATAGGCTTTTTAAGCTAAGCAAGGTGTTCATTTTGTGTAGCACGTGTACTACTCAAAGGCTTGTTAATCGCAGCCACAACATTCGACATCTGCTTGGTCAGTGCATGGTCACATATTAGAGCATCTCCATTTTCAACGTTCTGTACTGATCGACCAGTTGATCACTGAAATTGCTATCCTTGCTAAGCAGAGTTGAGAAGTTCCCTCGGAGTTTCCTCGGAGTTTCCTTGGTGTTTCCTTGGTGTATCTGCAACTCTCCAGCTCTCCTTGTTGAGTAGCGCAATTTCAGAGACCAGTCCAGCAACCAGTAGCAAGACAAGTTTATCACATATACTCATTTATTATTGTTCATGCAGGCTAACACAGGCCGAACAACTATCTCATAACTAATAACATCTTTTTGCGCATTGTTGCTTGTTGAGCCTTCACAATCTTGAACGATCATGTCAGAACAGACATGTGTTGATAAATGCTCGTAGTTGCTTTGATGTCTTCATTCGCTTGTATGCTAATTTTATATTGACTATTTTTACCGGCTGTTAGCTCAAACTCCGACTGTTGTAATCAGTAAAGTATCATCCCGATACTCTTAACCACATATGAATAACGGAAGGGAAGAATTAGGCAGCTGTTTTCGTAGTGCTACAAGAAATTTACAGACTCCGACATCTTCAACAATGATAACTCGCGGCCAGGACTTTGAACTTTCTTGCCAGAGGGTCAGGCCTAGTCTCGTTTTAGTCCTTAGCGAGACTTATGAGCAATGTCGCGACTAGAAATTAGTATTTATCAGTCCTGATTGAGAGAGACTGAGCACTTGCATGCCAATTTTTATCCCATGTAAAATTTACAGAATATTCTCATATTCTCGAGGATCCTAACATCCCGTATTTAATTCAATATTCAATTACTAAACAGGCCAACTCCTCGTTATTCCTCGATTATCTAGCAACAAGCTTACATGCCCAGTCTCTGACCAGATCTCAATTCCACAGGTATGACCCGAGATCGAGTCCAGACGAACTGTGTCTCTACATTAGTGCACTAATAACACAGCACAGGGTCCTACAACACAGCTGATAGCTGGAACTGATAATTCATCGTCGTTTGCGGGCTGGTGTCTGGAGAAAATATTAACACCGGGCACTGGTGCTGAGGAGCTGAAGCAACATGGCCAACAGGCGATCTTCACTTGCTCACTCTTCTATTAGTACCAGCAGACAATCTAGTCTCGCTTACAAGGTAACGATCTAGTCTTGACAAAAGAGTAATGAGCTGGATTTAGAGACTAGGGAGTTTTAGTACAGTCTCCATCGATCAGTTTTCGGAGGGAACAGAAATGATAACATATAAGATAAATTCATTGATCTTCAACTGGCCGTAAAATGAATCTTAAATGAAATCTGTGTAGTATTTTACATATCCAAGAACTAACATTTGACCCCAGCACTGCCGATAACTTCTATATAATTGATTCTAGACATATGTTTGAGAAGTTGTAACGAAAGTCCATAAGATCTAGACTTTTGAAACACCTTGTACCTTCATGTCTCTTGAAGAGTTAGGAAGTATCTAAAGTTTCAGACTCCTCCTTGGTACAGATAATATGAAATGCAGTATGATATTGTGTCGAAGAAGCAGTACAATGCCATTGTTACGACCCAGAGGTCTGTAACTTTGTCGTCTGCTCGGGATGCTATCATCTGACCAGTCTGAAGAACAGTCTGACTTGTTGGTCTGGTTCACTTCACACCTCACCTATCTTATCTTATTCCTAACTTCTTCAGGGGTCCTCTGAGCCTTGCTTTTCTCGTTCCTAGATTCTTCAGGGTCGGGGTCTATTTCCCCCATCTGCTCCACCTCGCCTATCTAACCTGGTTCCTAGCTTTTTCGTGGGTGCTCTCAGTCCATTTTATCTTATTCCTGGCTTTTTCAGGGGTGTTCGGAGCCTATGAATGATGCTGCATTACAGTTCAAGCTGAGCAAGAAAGTAGCTGAGCTCACTTTGGTGGTACACATGCTGTTTACAAGGAACCATGAGCGAGAGGTCAGTGACAGTGACAGTGACAGTGACAGTGACAGTGACAGTGACAGTGACAGTGACAGTGACAGTGACAGTGACAGTGACAGTGACAGTGACAGTGACAGTGACAGTGACAGTGACAGTGACAGTGACAGTGACAGTGACAGTGACAGTGACAGTGACAGTGACAGTGACAGTGACAGTGACAGTGACAGTGACAGTGACAGTGACAGTGACAGTGACAGTGACAGTGACAGTGACAGTGACAGTGACAGTGACAGTGACAGTGACAGTGACAGTGACAGTGACAGTGACAGTGACAGTGACAGTGACAGTGACATGTGACAGTGACATGTGACAGTGACATGTGACGACATCCTTAAAATTAGCCACTTTTTTAGATTAGATATAAAGTCTGACAGTGACATTTAAGTCTTGTGCGTATTATACCCGTAGATTTTACATGACGATTTACAGGTGGAACTTGAAGCAACGAAGGAAGCTTACGAGCAAGAAATAAACAGTATTACGAGTTTCTTTGAGAAGGAAATAATGCGGTTAAAATCAGATCTTGATAAAGAGAAATGGAAAAGGTATTATTATTAACTCTATTTGTACTTGGGTTCTGTGTCCAAATCCTTTAAAAAATTGTGCTTCTGTGGGAAATCAGTTGAGAAACCCAAAGAAATATTACACGTGCATCGTCTTGTCAAAATCAGACTTAACCACGGCATTCGCAGTTTGCAAACAGTTTAAATCGAAACCTTTTCTTATTACTAGTCTCGCGGAGAGATAAGATTCCGAAACCGGAGCCCGTAATATTGATTGTGATTTATAGCTACTTTGTATTATAGAACTGTTCATTCCAGCAAGTTCCATCCAATTTACTGTCTAGTTTCATTCCGTATTCCTTAGGCTCGAGGAGATGGAACGGTTAACTAAGGCTGAAGATGAGAGTACTAGGAAACTTCTAGAACGACACAACAAGAATGTCGCGGAGTTGACAGGGGGAAATGAAAAGTTGACATCTGATTACAGGAGCCTAGAGGAAAAGTATGATAGGTAAGGAATAAACTTGATAGATGAGTCTGGGATTGAGATTTAAATCCGGTTCAACACTTTAACACCTCCGATTGAGTTGCAAATTCGATCAAAGTTTGTGGGCTGTGTGTTTGTGGGCTGTGGCTGTTCTAATTTAGTAGTGATCGTGTATATTAACTTGGTGGTCAAGTATACTTAGTACTTTCTAACTGGACAAGTTTACTGACTGGAGCTTTTCTCAATGCATAATTTTTGGAATCGTTAGAAATTATGTTTCTGATTTGAAATGTTGACAGCCTCAAATGCTCGACGTATGGAAATGGACGCAATCAGGGTTTCCATGTACCAACTTCCGTCGTAATGAGACAGCCAATTTTGCTTTAAAGTCTATTCAGTCTGTTTTTTAAAGATCCCTCGCCTATTGGAGCGGGTCATGCACTCCGTGTTGATAGTATTGTCTGTTCTTCACCAGACAAATCTAGATACAAAATCTTTTGCCCACGTTTACGTACGTGCAATTTTATTCATATGTTAGTTCACCATGTTCACCATTCGTCCACCAGATCAGGCTGATATCTGCCCAAATTTACGATCTAAGATCTCATTAGCCTGGCTGGCTGATGGTTAGACCTTGTTAAAGCGGGGACGTCGTTAGTCTTAGCTTCATTAGCACTGTTCAACGTCGACACATAACTTAGGGTGGTAGAGGATCATGAGCAAGCCAAGAGAGACCACGATGTCTTGGCAAAAGAGCGGATTGCCAAGGACAGGGCAATGGAGAAGGACCACCTGAGGATTGAAAAACTCCAGCAAAATGCTCGAGCTAACAAGGAACTTATGGAGAAGATGAAGGAGAATATTCACAGTTAGTGGTGATAATTTCTTATATGAAACTGTAACTGTAAACCAGTAGCTGTTATAATTTAGACCGTCTAAATTAATAGGTCTTATCATTAGCCGAAGTCCCAAAATTAGTCGGGCATAGTCGCGATAACCTAATCGTATCCTAAACTGTAGGCTTCGCCTCCATCCATCACGTGTTGTCTCTAATACCAACATGTCTATTGTCTAAAATGGTTTATTGAGACCTAAACTAGACATGAACTGGACTGATATATTTCCCTCTATAACGAATTCATGATTCAGATATCCAGAAGAGTGTTAACCACAAGATTTCTCAAATGGACGCCAACAATCGCTCAGCAAATGAAGTCTCAGAAAATCTTCGAGTACAAAATGAGCAGCTCGAAGCAGAGAATAAGGCCTTGAGAAAGAAGATAGTAGATCAAACTAGCCAGTTGAAAAGACTGGAGAGTAACCCACTTTTACCACCTTGTCCCACATCTATAAAGCCTAAACCTGTAAGTGAAATACTACTTTAAAACTTGTGTGATCATTCAATTTTAGTTAGTTTTACTAAATTTCAATAAATTACGTGGTTACTGTTCTTCACATCATATATAAGAAAAATTATCATAATTTTAGCATAACTTTATTTAGCTTAGCCTTAGGGTCCCATATGGTCATGTTAAGCAGATTTTACTTAACATAATTAAGTTAACTTCAGTTAATTATGTTTATTCTACTTAATCAAACTACTTATTTGCTATTGTTCGGATATATTCGCTGCAATTTTCAGAAAGATTACACAACTTAATCATCGTAACTATGCAATGTAAATAGCTTATTGCAATGTACATACCTTAAGGGTTATTGTATCAGCATGTGACTCAGCAGTCTGTGGTGCTCATCAGCATTAGTCACAATAGTGACTTTAATATAACAAACTACACTGAAAATGATTCATTCAGTCATCATCGACGTAATTACTTGAATTTCAATTACTTGAAATGAGACCAATTATTCCACGGTATCACACTGCAGCAGCTGTGCGAATCTCTAATTCTGCTGTGACCTTTTGTTTTGTCCTGAAATGAATTAAAATTACCCAAATCACTAGCCTAGGGAAGCTGAAAGTATAACTAAAAGTGTTATAACTAAGAGTAAGAGCAAGATACGGCTTTTAGAGCCTTTTGATTGGGTGATACGTGGTAAGAAGGTGAGTATCGACTATCTGTGAATGAAACGATATAGTCCAGTTTTGGAACACTTATCTGATATCCTTGTCAGTCTCCTACCCATGGGAATATTTGGAGGAGACGAGAACCATGTTCACCGTGACATCTCCAGGCTTCGAATGTGCATGATTCCATTCAGCGTTTGTCTCTTTGCTGCTAATTCATTGCAATTGCTGAAACATTTCAAAAACTTTTGTCTCTTTGTCTAGGTCTATGAATCACTATTAGTTAGAAAACCTAGGGAGGAATCACATATTACGTCAGCATTCTAGGGGAGGGGTGGTTTTGAAATTGGTCGAGAAGCTCACGTTATGTGTAAAGGAGAAGGGAAGGTTTTTCATTTAAAATGGCCAAATCTTGTTGACGTTTTATGTGAGCGGTCCCCTGTCGGAATTCTCCGATCGGTATTCAACACTAAATCTTCTCTTTCGACACTAAACCTGTAGATTAAATACTGAGATATAATTATATTTAGCATGAGCTTTGATTTGTGTTACTGTAACTTAGGATTTGAAACGCCTCTTTTCCTTCCTCACTTAACACTTTCCTGTCAGAAGTCGATTGACGGCGAGATTTCCAAAGATGAAGAAATAGAGCGGCTGAAACGTGAGGTACATAAATATCGGCTAGAGCTGAGTAACAGGGAAGAGAACTTCAACAAAATATTCAGCGACATGAACCCCGTTACGCTCAGAAACGGGGGGATGTCGTGTGTTAAGGAGCTGAGAGATGGTCGTACTGAAACAGCCAGGTCCACCGAGGTTTGTATTTTATTATCATACTATTACTAAGTTAACCTTTGATTCAAGGTTTCAACTAACTGACTGCATTTAGTTAAGGTCTTTCATTTTGACAGTTTAAACTTTTTTCTTGGTATCGACAATAATTACTGCAAGAATGAAAACGTTTGGCATTTATCATAAGTATCCCATGTTAAAAGGTCTGCATGCATAACTGCACTGGAATATTCCAAATGTACCGAGTCCACTTCTACCCGTGCACAAAAGGGGTAGGCAGGCGCTCTCTAGCACCCGAGTTAACAAGCTCAATCGAACTCCGTCAATTTGCCTTTGAAGTGACCGGCTTTTCCGACCCAATACATATGATATAAAGTCCACACGGGCATTGAGATCAAGTGAAGTACTGGCCTGACTCGAATATCACGCGACGTTAAAACTTTTAACGTTTTAACATTTGTTTCTAATTCTCGATGTACCGATTTCCGGCGGAAGAGAGCATGTATGCAGAGGTGTTGTTAAACGTGTGTCTCAGTTTTAACAACCGTTCTAGCTTTTCTCAGAGCAGTTAAACATTCCCTAGAAATGATGAATAAAGAGCTCTGTGGTTTGTCGGGATAGTCCCGGAACTTTCCGTACCGCAAATAAGAACTCAGACTCCAGTCTTGTTTAACGTGTTGTAGTGCTTGTGATTTAACGATAAGTTGCCCTTTGAGAACAGTTAAATCTTCTTGTTCAGCTATTTAGAAGATAGAAATTAAATGAAATTAATGGACAGGTATCGCAAGCACATGTACAAACACTTACGAATTTCTTTTATCTCTCTTCTCAATCTTTCATCACATATCATGCTGCAAAATGCTGTCATTTATTTCATGCTTTGTTGATGCCAAAATTCGGTATCAGCTTTGCAGTGTCATAAATAAAGCAACAATGCGCCTATATAGTTATGATGTGTAGGAATTAAAACTTACAACTTTACAATTACTAAAACGTAATATGAATGTTCTTCATGAAAACATATACTATTTCGCAACATTCTCATTTCTCATATAATCTTTTCAGTTTTTCCTTATACCTAGTACCTTCATAGAACCCCACAGATCTCTTATAAACATGAATCTTTCCGGATCATTAAAAATGCACTCCCTTGAACCCTAAAGAAGCACCCTTGAAAGCCTGCCCCTTACATATCTGAGACAGTTTAGTACATTCAGATTCCCATCTACTCCTACAAACAAAAGGGCCACACCAGGCGCACCATGCGGCTGCGCTCCCAAAATGCTCCCCGGTCCTTACTACCATCCCTCAGTTCGCCGGGACGCCCTCAATCAACACGTGGAGAGCCCGAAAAATACTCACTCCTTTCTGAGGGACCCTCCAATTACAGCCGCCTATCTCCTGACAAAATCGAGCCAGCTAAAGTTGATCCTGAAGCCCCAAACCAGCAGCTGTTGGTCGAAACCGGGACAAAGGGAAATGCACGACAAGGATTTCATCAATCCACGAACAATTTGGCCGAGTATGATTGGATTTTTAGTAAATCTCAGAATTTAACCGTTGAGGATAAGATCAATCGTGGTATGAGGTGACCACGTTTTGTTTATTATTATTAACTTATTTGTATTTTTGGTTTATATTGGTTTTGGTTTACGGTTAATGTTATAATCATCTTTGATTATATAGCATTTTGTTTTGAAAGCCAGCTCTTTTTTCAGAAATCAGAACACTTTATTTTATTAGTCTGTTTAAATAAAATCTATCTTTCAACATTTCTAATATCTTAATATCTTCATTTTAATTTAATCAAAATCAATTCAATCCGTAAAACAAACTCAAATAACATGTCTAGTCATGTACAATTACTGCTGACCAGATCATATTCAAAGGTGTCAAATAATAATATGCTGAAATGCAATGTCCTACGTTTGAAAATGTCTCGAAACGTTGAACGAGATTTGCTTCTAAAGGATTCAACTGAACGCTTACTAAATTGGCAGCTGCAAATAAATTAAATAAATCGTAATATTTACATACACACCATCGCTGTGAAAAAGTCATTTCAAAATAGTTTTCAGTTGAAAAATGGCCAGTGTAACTGTAGGGGTCATGTGCAATAACATAAGTAGTTAAAGTTTACGAAGACTAAGATATTTCAAATCCCTGAATATTATTTTTCATAATTACCAGCTTTATAAATGGACTGATAGAATATCCGTGTTTTACTGCGAGAAGAGATTCACTTAGAATAACTTTCGGTAAGTTAAAATTTTCCAGTTTAAAAGAATATTGCACTTGTGTTCTTGATAGTTACTTCACAATATAACATGTAATAAATGTAACAATAAATGCTTCATAAATGCTGACCATTGAGGAAGATATTGATTAATACTTATTGTATAAGATCTATTATTAAAGCTTAGCTTCCAGTGACAAATATCTTAACTCTTATTCGCCTTAGATCTTAAGAATGGCATGACACACACTGACACGCTCAATTTCTCTCTCTCTGAAGGAAATCTTGGAACTAGCATGACTCCTGCATCCCGTGCTTGAGGACACTTGGCGATTATCCCTCACAAGAGAAAAGGTAAGGCCGGCATGCCGCATACTCTGCAAAATTTGTCGCCGAGCTGAATGATAGAATTACAGCTGTTACACGTGACTAGAGTCCGTAGCAGAGCCGCGTCGCAGAACGGCCACATCAGTCGAGAGATGATGGGGCTGTTCTGATCTGATGTTACAGTCCGCGTGGTTGGCGTTTCTGTACTCACTACCCCTCGAGGTGTTTTTGTGATCAGGTTGCTTATTGAAAAGTCATTGTTGGGTGGAGTGAGGGTGGCTGGGGGTGAGTGTTCGCTCACACTCATTGTCTCTTGAGGTGGGAGGTCGGCTGGCTCACTCTTAACCAGAGCGTTGGGGCTGATGGCGCGAGGCATGCTGGTGTCCTTAACGAAGGTGGGTGGAGGGGCAAGGGGTGATGTTTGGGGGCAGTAGGTGCCATCAGTGTTCATGTCTCTGGAAGAGTCTGAGTAGTCTGTTACCGAGCACTCCTCCATGGGGGCCGGGGTGGTGCTACTAGTGTTGTTGTCCCGGGACTCCGTGTAGTCTAGACACTCCTCTATTGTAGCCAGGACATCGTCGTTGTGCTTCGTCAGGATCTGAGCGAGCGTGTTCTTGTCCATATTGGAGAAGAGCTCAGTAAGAAGTCCGAGTGAAGAGTGTGTGGGGGACGGGTCGTGGATACTCGTGACATCATTCATCGGACAGTCTTCCGTCAGGTGTCCTGTGGGAGAGATTCGTGTTAGCCAGCTGTATATATTCACAAACACCCCCCGTGTGATACTCAAAGCAGAGTGTATTGTCTGCTGCCCAACACAATACACCACTCACGTGCACCTCACTCCGTTAATTTGTAATTTTAGAACCGATACGAGGCCAAAAACTAATTTTATCGTAAATGCTGCTGAGTGCCGCAGCGAGAACGTACATGTTATTAGATTACTGGTGCTAATGTCCTCACATAATGCCTAATCGTTAGCATATTCAATAAACTGATAAGACGTTTTCTTCTCACGCCCTAATAATAAGGTAATTGTTTGAATTTCCGGGCCTGACACCCTGGTGTGAACTAGTTGGGTGCAGGAGATCTTACTGTCACAGAGATACACTGTGAGATACACTTAGATAGGCGGAAATAGGAACACTACCTGAACTGTCGAGGGAAATCTGCGGGTCCTTGGTTACTTTTCTCTGCTTCCTTCGGAGTGCGACCTGGGCAGCCATGACTTTTCTGTGCTCTGAGCTCAGCCGGCACTTGATGCACGTGCAATCTTTCCACGGACACGAGGACTTGTGCCCTTTTAACATATGTAACGTCCCTGAAGGCAGGGTATTAGCTACATATTTTGACAAGTGCACCGGACTACCGATGAGTAATAGTTTGGTGCGATGAGGATCTCGGTTACGTTTGGCTAATGTAATGATTCGAGTTAGAGAACAATTCAGTCATGTTTTTTCGTCTGCAAGCTAGTATATACGCTGAAAATTCAGCACAGAAACTAAATTAGACGAGTGGACGTTGTGTAATGTGTGGCAGAGCATTTGTAAACTGGACAAGGAATTCCTAATAACAAAATTTGGGATGTGTAAATACTAAATACCAGCGAAGAGAAGAAGAGGAAAAGGAAAAATGTTAGAGATATAATGAGAAGTAGCGACTTAGAGTAAGTGACATTGGATAAGGCGATATGAAAGTGCGATGTTTTGCCGACTCCAGTACACGGCACAAGGGCTGTACTTGACGGACAAAAATGTAACATCGAACGTGACAGGGCCAGACCGTACTACCATACACATCGCGGGCTACCAGCCTGACTTGTAGGGGTTTCCTAGTGATGAAAAATACTATCGATCGTCTAGACATAAAAATGTGGGATCCAGGAATTGCAAGATAATGCTGATAGATATACCGACGACCGTGGACATGTGTTATATAACGCTCTCCTCCCTGCTCTCTTGTCCTTTTCCCTCAAATCAAATTTGGCTTATCCTACATATTCAACGAAAATCTGTCCACGACAACAAAACATACGATAACAAGACGTGACTGAGACTAGTAAAAAAGCGGAAACAGTTCAATATAATGTGAAAATAGTCATACAAAAGATCACTCCACTAGAGACTAACAACGACGTGCCGAATGAGCGTGGAAAACTGAACAGGAAGATGTGCTGGAACGAATGTACACGGATTACACACACACTGAGTGATCTGACCACGGACCAGGCAAGAGGCGGAGAAGGCGGAGGAGGCAGACCACACATTCTCTCCGTCAGACATTCGGCACAGAAACTAGTGATCACCAAACTTCGGACCAGACACTCGGCACACACACGTGTCATGCTGGTCCAGAATACCCGGGAGGGATGAGGCAGAGAGAGAGAGAGACAAATTAACGAGAGCAGCTACTAGCGATCCAACACGCAAACCATATACTGTGTAGCAACAACTCTCTCTCTCCCTCTCTCTTCCTTGCTCTCTGTTTGTTCTGTGACTGTGAGACTAGGAGCTCTACAACAAACATTAGCTAAACATATTACAAGAGCGTTAGGAGGAGGAGACTGAGTCACTTGAACCCCCCTCTCCCTCCCTCCACATCTCTCTCTCTCGCTGCCAGTCGTCACTAGACGTTACATATCCGACAAATGACTTGGCCCACTACCCCTATAATTAATGACATGTTCCTGAATATTATTATCCTGCACAGGCCTGTTCAGGACGCTGTAAATACAGGAACGCAGTGCTCGCCTCGACATGTGGGACAAACCGCATACTGTTTATGTGATTGTGGTTGTTGCGCCCCGGCCCTCTATTCTCAAAATCACTTTGCGGTTTGCTCTGTACACCCAGCAGATTCCGGTCTTTAGCCATCCTATGATCCTGACTCTCCCTTCATGCGTGACTACCTTTTAGTCATCTCTTAGTCACGTGTGAGGGATATAGACTATAGAGGCTGATGTATTATACACTCAGTCCACTAGGGTATACACTCAGAGTTTCAGCGCCAAAACCAGCTCTCTTTTCCTCACCTCAAAGTTCATTAAACTGAAATGACGGATCCCTAACACCCTGCCTCTGATTCCTGGTTACCATAGCACCGGGCAGGGAAGTGTTGCTGGAAGTGGTGTGCCGGGTGACCCTCACGTTCTCTTGTTTGTGGAGACATGTTTCCTTGTCACTACTGTCCGGTTGACGACTGTCTACAATAAGTTGCGAGTCGCGTGCCCTTGACACGTGAAATACTAATGGTGGGAACCCTGTAAAAGCTTTCCACGGCTGGCACCGCATGCCAGGCTTATCGACATCTTAATTGATTACCAGTTATCGGTAAGGAATTATATGCAATTCAATTATCGGTCGTATCACAGAAAACAATGAACAAAAACACTCGAAATGTGCCCTTTTCCTAACGGCTAATGATTACTAAAAGTGGTTGGAGGGTGATCGAGGCGAGATCAAGAGGAGGGAAACGTGTACAATTATCAAATATTTTGATGTATAACAGGACGTAAAAAAGCACACTAAAACATCCAAAACTTAATAATCAACGCCGATCACTAAGTACGGTAAAGCAAGGTGGCAAATTCTGTCGATAATGACAGCGTCGAAGGAGAATGACCCGGTTTCTCCGGGCCACTGAGAAGTGCAAGGTCTGGTCACGTGACCCAGCACTAAGCTGTCTGTTATGCGAGCTTCTGAGTGTGCTTATTCTGTTCCGTTGACCGGGGAGAGGTGATGACAACTCAACTACAAACTATACAGGGAGCCCGCGTCACGTTTTATAAGGATGTCAGAAACACGTTAAAATGGGCAGCATTAGTAAGCAGATATAGGCTAATCTGTTCTATTGATCAGGGATAAGACGAGTTGCTGTGTAAAAACACGCACGGTATTTCAAGTGTACTGCCCCTGCCAGCAACTCATACCAGATCACACAAGAAAACAGAGTACAACGAACAAGTCAGGCAACAAATAACTCTCTTTCCCCCTCTCTCTCTCTCTCTCTCTCTCTCTCTCTCTCTCTCTCTCGCCATCGAGCTACTTGCTGTTACGAGAGAGGGAATTAAACATTGATCTGACTGAGAGCTCTTGTTAGGAGAATTGTGGCAGTCACGTGCCAGTACTCTTCATTAGTAGTCACAAATACACACTCACACGCTCCACACGCTCCAGATCTTCGGCAGGTATAAGAGCTGTGGAGTTGCACCCAGTAAAACTGCGGGGGAGAGGCAGGAGCAGGGGGAGGGAGTGGAGATGGGGACTGGGTACCAGCAAGATGGGGACCAGCTGTGTTTACTACTAATGAATTGCACCGACAGAATCATTGAAAATATATATTGTGTACATGTAGATTGTAGATTACAGGGTTTAGCTGGCGCTAGCTGGGGGATAATGCAGGGCATGATTTGACCAAATCAGGTGTAATTGGTTGGTACATTTTGATCTTGTTACCAATGACAAAAAAGTTTGTGACTAAGAACAGATACGGTAGTGACGCTAAATATAGCTTCCCTAATAATATAAGCAGGTCAGCTAAGACGTCTAGACCGGCTCATTCTTTATCCATCGTCAACTCGTTTGCCTGCCCGAGAATAAATTAGGTTGCCAGGTTTAAAACTAGGTTGGAACTCGCGTCCCTTGATCTGTCCTAGACATGCAGTGGGTTGGTTTTTGGTAATTTTATCCGCCCGTCAGCTACGAGCTTTGTACGGAACCTAAATAGCACGTTTCCATCTCTTCTGAAATCGTTTACAGCGAAATAGAAACTCCTTTTGGGTACCAACCAAATACTCGCACAATCCTCAGGCAGACTGCAAATCCTCTTATTATTTATTCTGTAAGAAACCCTCCTCCTCTCTGAAGATATGGACCCTTGACTCCTCCACTTTCAGTCTTAAACGAGCCAGGCATAACTCATAATTATGTGATTTATCAACGCCAACAAAACAATGATGTAATAATAAAAGAGACCAAATTCAGATTCTAGCACAACTTGAGCACTATAAAGCTACTTTGTTCGAAAATTAAAGCTCTGCGAAAAATTGCCGCACAAAAGATAACGGAGGGAGTGAAGAGGGCGTGAGGTATTGGTGAGCTGAAAGGTGAACACCAACGTCCAAGAGACTAGCCCGAGAAGTGTGGTCCTAAATGTAGAAATGAAGTGCAAAACGTGATTATTAGGCTGCTCATTAGCTGGAGTGAACAAGTCGTTAGCTCGGTGCGATCTACTGATTCTGCGAGTTATGTTGCAACCGGGCAAATACCGCCTCCAATATTTAGGAAACAGTGCACTGGACCGGCATGTCGGTCACTAAAAGCATAGCGTAAGGAACTGAGAGCACGTTTATAATGTTTCTAACCTCCCTCTCTCCTCCGACAGGATAGAGATTAGAGACGAGACTGCAACTTACAGTGTTTTTAGACACGGCACACTGAGGAGCTCCCCTGACATAATGACACATGGCTAATGAGTTCTTAATACCCCACTCTTATCAGCAGACTTAAATAAAAGTAGTGTCAGACAGCCTTTGAATGGTCGATACTATTTTAATTTACTTAGCGAGACAGTCCTTGAATTATATGGGTTAGTTCGCACTAAAATCTGTGGAAGTGGGTCATTAGGGCCTGGCTGGTATTACGAACTCATAAATGCTGTTTTAAACTTTGGAACGTTTAACAACTAAAATGTAGTTATAACCTCTACAAGCCTCTATGAGATTTGTTATTTTTACAGGCCTAAAGACGAGTTTCATCATCACCACATAAAACCACACCTTGCAACTATTTCCTTATTCCACATCTGTTAAACGTGCACTACGTAATATCCGTATTACCGGCTGTGTGTGAACGTTGCTAGGTATGTGATGTGCTGAAGTGGAAATGATGTAATATAAATCAGATGGCAGAACCCAGAGCTCTAACAGGTGGTGGTATAAGTGTAAAGGCCAACAAACAATAATAGTTTTAAAGTTTTATCGAAAGTTCGGGAAAAGGGAGCTAACCGTGGTCACGACATCTGGCGCAGGCTTGTATTCTGTTGTGTCTCCGTGTCTTGGTGAGAGAGGTGTTGCTTTCCGGCTTCATTACTGTCGACATGCTTCCTAAATTGGTGATCGATGTTTATAAACATTGTTCAATGGATAAAAGTTGCAGTAATCAAGCCAAATTATGCAACGAAAAGAGAAGGGTTGCAACAACATAAGGTTTCCTTTTCTTGTGCGGTTCAAATGGTACGTGGTTGGAAACAAAAGTTGGTGCAACAAATCAAAACTAAGCACCTTTAATAATGTTTAAAACAAAAATTTATCGTATACTTTATCTAATAAAACAATTACAAAGGGATCTAATGGGCTAAGTGCCCTACTTAGTGAGGTCACGAATTTTTTATGAACAACTCATTGACACAACTACACACAGCAACAAATAAACATATGAAAAATTAGCATCAATTGATGTTGTCAGTGGAGATAAAATGAGCAGTAATTAACCCAGATAACAGTTGCAGTAATCAACCCAAACTAAACTAAAAATGTATCACATAAGTTATGTTACAATTTATCTCAACAAAAAGGTTAAGATACTTGGTGAGGCGTCAGACTAACTATAAGCAACTCATTGACATAACTTCACTTTCTAAGCAAATAAACATTTCAACAATTTTCATTATCAAACGTCAAGTCTGCTGTTCCTTCTTGTTTGACAAATAACACCTCTTTTTAACCATGCCTTGATTGAATCCTTACTTGGTGGGGCTCTTTATGCATGGCCCCAATCACTGAGGCTTAAAAGAAGGGCCCGTCAAATAATGGATGACTAAGTAGTTTGTCTGCAGTTCAGATTGTTACTTAGTTCGGTTTGCAAATTGCAACTAAGGCGGGTGAAGTTAGTTTAACTTCTTTCATACAAAGATTTTACACGAAATTTTTCACTGAAATCGAAAAATACTGATGAATAAATGCTAAATTTGAAATTCTTTGGGCTGGAAAGCTCTTGCAAGTACAGGTAGGAAAGTAATGGGCGGACAGGGAATAAGATTGCCACGATTTAGTCCTCAGTCGCCATTCCAAAAACGAACAGCAGATCAAATACACCGACTAAAAATACCTTAATTAGAAATAATATCAAAGGATTTTTTGGGTAACAACCAACTGTAAAACTAAGCATTCATCTCCAAAAACATCAGCAAGGCGGAAGAGTGACCGATATTAATTGACGGCTACCCGTCACCAAGGTTTCGCATATAAGTTACAGGCTATACTTGTATGTGTGCCAGATACTATCCATCACAAAGACTACAACCCAGCTTCACTCTATGTCAGATCAATACAATGTGGGATCCCCGCCTCCATCTGTCCCCCCTTGTACAGTCTGACGTCCCTGTTACATCTTTAACAAATTAGACTTTTTAAAGGCTTGCAATGACAACTTTTCTCTTTGTTCCTACTTTTCGAGGTAAAATGCACACAAAGGGAAACTATGTGCCATAGCCTTTGTGATTCTAGGGTTTTCGAAACTAGTACGGGTTTTTTGTTTCGATTATACGGGTTTGAAATCACACAGACACTCACTTTTGTAACGCAACGAGTTGGCATGATGTTCAAGAGACGGCTTCGTGTTATGCAAATGCTTCATGCTGCTCACCAAAGAAAAAGGACGTCCATGCCAACGCAGAGAAAACTCCCAACAACCCACAAAATTCAGAATCAATAGTTTCCGACAGATACGACGATAGCATCACCAATAACATACAACATGGAAAACCTTAATTGCCCGGACCATGGCCTCTGTCTCACTCACACTGAAGCACACCCAGTCTACAAGTTCACAAAGGAGCTTAGTCAATGACATTACTTTACCTCTTCCCTCATCTAGTAGCTATCCTCCTCATACAGGCGGCCTGATTAACTTTACTGCAGGAGTTGTGCAGGTGACTAGCGGTGGTTTAAGAGTGCTAAAAGCAGGATCCCGGGGTGAACAATGGAAACACGTCTTGTATCTAATTAAGCTAATTAATTCTGAAAGATCTCAAGTTATGTCGTGGGATTGTTGCTGTCTAGATCGAGAGATTCAACAACAATAAGTCAATTTAAAGTAATGCAGATGTCCGACGGTTTGCATGGTGTTCTAGACTACTATAGACCAATGGAAAACAGTCCTATCTCAAACAAAGCGGTCCTTCGGCAAAACAAAAGCAGTGCAGTCCTCCCTACAATTAGCTCGACTTTACTTCGACGGCTCCACTTATGACCTCCCATGACGGGGATAGACGTCTAAATTTTGGCGAAAAATGGCCAAATTATAGACGTCGATATAGTTTATATATACATATAATATAGTTTTGGAGATAAGCTTTGAAGTTGAAGGTGTTCCTTGGTCTTGCCACTACAATTTTGTAATTGTGCAGCGTGCGTGCACGCCGTTGAAATACAAGTAGCAAGAGCAATATGTAAATATATGCACATTTCTGACGTAACTGTAGCCCGGTAGTGTATGACAAAACACCTAGTTAAACGGCAGCTTAGTCACCAACAATGGAGAAATGTTACGAAGTGAGGGAACTGAGCAAAAAATACAAATGACAGATTGATAAGGGGTACCAAGTTCGCTTTCGATTTGAGGGAATTTGCCCCCTGACTGACGGGATTGTGGCGGTCTTGACTCCGAGGGGTGTCACGTTGTCAGGTTTTGGCCATTTGATGTCCAAAAACACGTGCACCGCAATACTTAATATATACTGATTACAGCAGAGAAAATACATGTCATCATATCCCATCTCATTATGCACATAAATAATGAACATGGTATATCATATTATGCAGTTGTGTTGTTATCGCAGGATCAGGTGGACAGCCTAATTAATAGCACCACATTAAAGTTACGAAGTGTCCGGGAAACATTACAAGGGTGACGTACTATACTGCTCTGAAAAGAGAAGCCCTTCAGTTTGGAGGTCAGTACAGGACCTCCTCCGTAGACAGATCCGAGGAACGGAGCGATCTGGTTGGCTCTGGTTGGGACACGTGACTGTTTAGCGAGCTCTCATTGGACAAGGTCTACTATGTACGCGTGCCGTGTGCCGAGAATACCACTCGTAACGTGACTACCTATTGTTTCCCGCAATGTCCATCACTGGAGATACTAATCACTAGAATCGATTAGCCGATTAACGGGCAATTAAACCAATTTAGACAAAGGGGCGTCCGGAAAACGGGACCCCGCCGGATTATTAATCGGAGGTCTGCGCTTTAAACTCGGATTATACAAATGACATAGTCTTGCTTTCCACGTGACAAGATGCACTGAAATCTCTTGTCTATTGAATCTTGAAACAAGCTAATAGTTTAACAATATTACAATTAGGAGGAATCTTTTAAATCTTACTGGTTAAGAAAATATCCTGGCATTTGCTGTTAACCTGCTGACATCTTATTTTCATATAGTTTAACGACACACGAGATCACAAACGATTCCCAGGCATTCTACCCCGATATAAATTGGTATTTTTTGGGACCGATGTCAGGTCACCGATCTCCAAGTAGATATAGCTCCGGCGGACATCATTGGAGCATGTGGCGGCAGCTGGACAATGGCGGACCTTGGAAGCGGAGGTAGGGGGCACACGCGAGCCAGTCATAGCAGATCCCCCAGCACGGCCCCCTCTCGTGTTTCAGCTAATATGACAGAGCTAGTGATATACTCGCACATCATTTTTCCGTTACATCTTTCTCACGTGTAGCGTCTCCTTCACTGTCACCTGACCTTAGCTACGTCACTTGTTTACGGAAATGACGTAACGAGCCCTCTTTTCGTGTAATTGGAGATCTTGGCAGGGTGGCCGTGAGAGCCAACCTTGGTGGTGTGAAAATCCTGGAGATCGAGCTGCTTTTGAAACATTTTCCCTGGTAGTACTAGAGGAGGCATGTGTTTCAAAGCTGTATCTTGAGTAGCGTTTTCTCATGTGGTACCGTGCTTTGTCTCATGTCTGGTCTGTTCTCTAATTTCGCATTCCCAATGTTCTTGCCTCGTGAGTGCCTGCCCCTCCTTCTCACCACACGTGACGGGGCTTCAGCTCAAACTTTAATGGAAAGGTCGAATTAGAAAGATCGGGTAATGACCTCGCGCAAGCCCCAGTATCAAGTGACAACTAAGGACAAGGCAACTGAAACAATTTTATGAGATCCTAAGCCCTGTTAACTGCGAGAGTCGAGACATGTTCAAGCTTATATCAGGGCAGCTCACAGCTGATATAATTTCTGTTCTCGACTGGTAGATTCACCATAAATCTTGATCTGGACAGGACTATTAAGGCCGGCTAGCTCGTCTTCTAGACCGGTGTGAGGTCAGTACTAGGACCTGAAACTTGCGGGTCATCGACTCCCATTTAGATAGTTCTAAGTAGACTGTGCCATAGCCAACCATAGGGGAAGCCACACAATACTTGCCAGTAGCACATGAAATTGGCCCCTGTCTCTATAGACTAGTGCCGTATCCCCGGCAAGGATAACCATTGTGAGTCATCCCATGTCAAGTCTGCGGTATTCAGACACCACACACGGCAGACTGAGGCAAGAAGTTGATACTCATCCCCTTATCGAGAGGAGACCTATCTAGAACCCTTCTTATGACAGACTGATACTCCCCAAACAGCAGGTCCCTACTTAAACTTTCTGTCTGAGGTCAACTTTCACACAGAGTTACAGATCTAGAATGTTCTCACAAAGTGTTACAAATGCTCAGTGTTATGAAATTGGAGCTACCATGCCACGAAGTGACGAAACACATTGAAACGAAATTCAACTCCTAGATAATGTACTATGTCTAGGATCCACAACGTGTAATAATTATAGGTCCAAGAGTAAGATCTATAATAACACGTACACAACTCCAGAACCCACCCCTTCGTATAGCACCAACCTCACGACTGTTGGTCCACACGTGCCGGGTCTGCTCTATACCAGTAACAGTCTGAATAACAGTCTATATACTGCGGTGGGACAATGCAGCAAGTGTGTTCTCCAACTCCCACTATAAGTCTCACAGCTCCACTAGTCTCACCTTCCACTTCTTGCTCTCTGTGTAAGTGTTATTATATGTGCAAGCAAGTCATTGGCAATCACGTGTACTTCGTAAGAATGGAAATGATGCGGCTCTGGGATTGCACAATTGATTTGAAACTTTCCTCTGGCACTTGGCAGCAGCCGATAAAAGAGCGGGGTTGTAACAAGATGTGTAGCGATGACTGTATGGTAAGTAGTAGTTTCCGGATGGGAACTGCCACTGATTAGTCGCAATTAAGATGATTATTGTGCGAAAATTTGCTGCTCTTCTTGCAATTAGATGAGCAAACTCTTTACGAGTAAAATGTCGTTACAAAGAATTAACAATCTCTTACTATCCGAGACGTACTTACTTATCTTATCGCCAACACGTGCGATAATCTAAAATTTCCAATGAAAATGTCAGCCGTACGATAATCGAGTTTGATGAGGAAAACTTTCCACAATGAAACCAGGCTTGCTGAAGCTGTCTGCAAAACATAGAAGAAAAAACAGCCGAGACGTGGCAAAACGAGGCGCCAAGTTCGTAATTGTGAATGAAAACGTAAAACTCTCTACTAGCACCTTTTGTCAGCTCAGGCAAACTTAAATACAATATAACAATAACAC